ATGCCCCTGTGGATGTATTATAAGCACTAACAAAATTAACCCCTAAAACACTTCTGTTTTCGAGAAAAATTGAATATAAAAATTTACCGGTACTCCCAGTAAATTTTGTTAAATTTCAAATAGCGCCTACGGCTGTACAATGGTAGCTGCGACCATGAAAATCTCAGAATATGTAGTTGTGATATATAATTTCAAACGGGAATAGCTAATCGGTCGATTTTAGTCAAGAAATATTGTTTCATAGTTAAATTAGTATCTTGACCTTGAGAGGGAGCTATACAACATAAAGAGTTTATTACTTATAATTTCATAACTTTAGACTCGATTTCAACCGGGACAACGATCAATGAATATTGTAGGAACGCATATGCTTCCAATATTTTAATTTGAACCAAATTCATGACCCCATACCAAAACTTTGTAATACCTTTAAACAAAACTTTAGTATAGGGACATGCTTTCAGGAACTAGTAGGGGATGTGCTGGGACTCTTTCACTAATCTTGATCCTATCATGTTGAAATTGGGAAATTGTCTTGTTTTACACTACAGTAGCTCATATTGAGTGTGAATATCCTACGGCCATTACGAAACCCAACAATGCTTTTATAACATAATACAATCTCACAATTTCCAAGCTAAGCAGAGCAGACAGATCTAGGTTCTATTTTCAATCGCTTCAGACTTTCTACATTAGTTAGAATGTATGGATTGTAGAGAATGCTACAACCCGTCTTGTTTACATGGTAGTGGTGCACATACATGTGCATTGAGACGTCATTCACACAGAGAAATTGTCGTACAAACTCAGAGCTACCAAGTATCACGCATTAGGCGTGACATCACGCATTTCGAGGGTCTGAAAATGCTCTTACGCACGACGCGCGCGCTAGATTTTGAAAAAACGCTATACCTTGTACTTGTGTACCCCCGCACGCGCACATGCGCCGAATCATGAAAATGTCACGCATTGCCGATCTTTGAACTTGGCGTCTCTGCAAACTATGATCATAGACATTGATCTGACAAATGCTCTAGTGACATCTTGCTTCAGGTCTTATTAAAAAAAAAAGATGTTGGGTTAGCGTAAGGGTTGGGGTTTAGATTCAGATTAGGTACAGAGCTTCACAGGATAGGGAAGGATTGGGGTTTGGTCAAGTGTTAAGTTTTATATTTATTGTCCATTTAAACAATGGACATTTGTTGTGTTACATAGTATTGCAATACACATACTGGTAGATACACTCATACAAAAATCAATAAAATAATTTTTGACTTGACAGGAAACAAAAACAAACAACAATGAAAACAAAGATAAAGTCATGCATCGAAAATAATATACATGTATACCAAGTGAGGTGGAATAACGATACAAGTATTGATAATGTATTGCATTATTATCATTGCTGTCTAGTCTTATTATTATCATTTGGTTAATGTACAGAATTGACTGCAGAGTGATTTTTGTCGTAGCTTGTGTCATACAGTCTTTGGAATCAATCAAGGGGGCTACCTACATTCCTCTCTCCTCATACTTGTCATTACAGTCTGTAACATGTCTCAATATGCCTCACTTTCGATTATAACCTGCTGAGAGGAATTACAGAGAGGTTGAGAAGAATTACAATTGAAGGGTAACATGAGATGGCCAAATGCGTTGGTGCCAAGACGATGTCATGGAAATAAAAGAATACCAATCTAGGGAAAAGAAAATGAATTCCCAGATTAGGTTTCAGTTATTGCTACATGAACTTGTAGAGCCTACATTAGGTAAATTAATGTTCATTGTTGAACATATAACATGATTGTCATGTTTGAAAATTAATAATGTAGGCTTGCATGTAGGAGCCAAGAAGAAGGCTTACTTTCCCTTTTGAGTGGGGAGCAGTAATAGTAGTAACGATAAGAGGTATTTGTAACATGCCGTCTAGCTACATAAGGCCTGTCATCATCAGCTTGAGATTGCCAAATATCCCGCTATTTGAACTATCCCGATCGCAAATTATCCAGCTAATTCGCGTCTTCATCAGCCCGAAGTGGCAATTAGCGGGAAATTTGGTCGGGACAATATACCAAGATATCTTGGTCTAGTTTGCATAATATCCCGCTAGTTCCCCAATAGCGGGATAGTTTGCGCCCATTTTCATCATACCGAAGTACGGAGTGAAATATCTCGATCCCATCATGCACACCGATTTCTGTGTTTGTAAATAAAATAGCTCGTTGCACATGCTCTAACCTGGGCTGCATGCATGCACCGCCGGTACAGTACTTGTTTACGTTTTATGTTTTACAACGCGGGTACACTGGTCGTACAGCCGGTCTCTAAAGTGCGCATGCGTCAATCTCAAGATTATTTTTCGAGCTAGTTTGTGATGAGCGTATCGGTTTGGTGCAGACGCGATTTTGAGCATCGGATAATATCTTGAGTCTGAAAATAGCGGGATATTTGGCAATCTGGAGCTGATGAGGACAGGCCTATAGAGAACTTCTGTTCTAAGGTGCACAAGTAAAAGAGAACAGCAGTGAAACGAGAGTCTGAATCGTCATGCATTGCTCAAAAAGATCTGTTCAACTTTGTTTTGAAACTGAGGAACTGTTTTCAGTAGCTGGGGCAAAATGATCACGGGCCATCAGTTGTGTATGTTGAGCATCGTCTGTGTTTCGTATCTCAGTCACATTACCAAGCCAAGGTCCAAACCAACTCCAAACTGACAATTGGAGGTGCATTATATATATGATAATTTGACCTGTCTGTTGTCAGACTTAAAGGAGTTGTAATACCTCCTTGGTGTAATAGGCTGGTGTCAGTAGGTGTGGCTAGGGCGTTTATTAGGGCTAGGGCTATTAGTATCAGCGCTGTTGTGTTCATGTAGCATCTGGAAACGTGATTAATATCATGTGTGAATGCAGGTGAACGCTAGGGCCTGGTGTGCTCATTATAAGAGGCAACGAGGCATTATATCTAGTGATGAGAGATCCTCTCTAATTTTGTCCAAATCTCTGACAAGGACTTCATTCAGATATGATGAGATCGCCATATGCCTATTTCCTACAGCTAGTCTATATACCAGGCAGACCCATCAAGTGCGCTCTCTTGAGAGTTGATATTATTTGTATTCAGATTCTACCTTGTAGGTACCATGGTATAGTGGTTCATTCTCTTGATTTTTCAATCATGGTTGAGGGTTCAAGTCCCAGCCCGGTACTAACATTCTTTGGCAAGACATCGATCCACATTTGCCACTCTCCACCCAGGTGTAATGGATAGCCAATATACCAGAGGGCTTATTATTTCCCATCTTGTCTTGGGTAGTAATGTTGGGGCACCAGGGGCCTGTTACACACAACTTACCATTGATGGTAACTTTGCCATCAATGGCAACTACCATGGAAACCTTGATTTTGATTGGCTGTTGAGCCCTGTTACCATGGTAGTCAACATTGATGGCAAATTTACCATCAATGGTAAGTTTTATGCAACGGGCCCAGGAGCATCATGGCATGACGGACACATGCACTTTATAACAAGCCACCAATATTATTCTTGATATAATTCCTGTTCATATTTTATTCAAAGTCAATATAAAGGTACATGTACATGTACCTGCAGTATAACTCCTTTCCTTTGGGCCAAATAACCTTGATTCCCTTTTCGCCCCATCCTGCTTCACTTTATTTTTGCCCTGTTTTTTTCTTCATGTGACATTTGTTATTTTGTTTGGAATTTAGAAGAACCTTAGGAAATCTTGGCACGGAGGTACCAAATTATTTATAAAATGTACAGTTTTAATGTCAATTAGTTTCAAGCCTCTGTAGTGAATGCACACCTGAAATGCCATAGAGGAAATAATTGTCAAAAGATTGAGCATTTGTATGTTTAAAAAAAATTGTATTTGTTTGGAAGATATAAAATATGAAATAGCACGGAAGTGGAACCCCCTTCTCGTGTGATAAATCAAGAAACTAAGAATGAATTAAACTTGCCCTTTACAAGCAGTGCATTATAATGTATTCATTTCACATACTGACAACAACATAAAGATGAAAAATTAAGATGATTTTAGAATCATTACAAATTGAAGGTGATATCATGCGTGAATCATTCGATCATCCATAGTAGAAGAATTAAACCTAAGCGAATTGGCTGCTGCTTTTTCTTTTTTTGTTGGAACATGCATTTACACCTACATGTACATGTACATTGTATGTGCATGTAAGTGACTCTAGTCTCTTCTATGTGACTTTCTGAAATTATATGACAGCTTGTCTTAAAAATTTGATGTACTCTGTAGGTTTCCATGGTGTGTGAGTGCATTTTATCCACAAAGTATTATTTGTTAACCACTTGTTGTTGTTGTTTTTATTTCCGAAATCGGATAAAAATATTATACATAGTAAAATATGCAAAATGAAATATTTATACATGTACATACCGGTAGACAAAAATTGGTGGAAAGCCCAATTCAGCATTGTTTATAGAACACTACTGTTCTTCCTTGGGGTCCTTACACTACAATATTAACATAAAAGCGACATAAGCAGAATAGAAACAAAACATAAATAAGTTCCACTAAAAGGTATGTTCATTTCTGTTTTGTTATATTAAAGAACCCCTGCTTAGTTTTTATGGTGAACCTACGTGTGGAAATTGTGTTGTAGCATTAATCGTTGTATACTCTGTTCATGAAGAAAATTATAAAACTGTCTGTCAGGACTCAGATAGGCGTTTACTCATATAACTTAACACAGCGTAAATGCCCTCCTGGCTATAAACAGATGAAACTGTTCCTGAAAAGAACTTCATTTATAATAATAATAATAATGAAATAATATGTTACAATTTTATAGCGCATTATAAACATTTCTATGCGCTTTACATTTGATACAATAATAATAAATAACTATGAAATATTTGACAAGTTCTGCAATTCTAAAGTACTTTACCAAAAAAAATATTAATAATTTGTTATTCTTTTCTCTTTTGTTTTGTTCTTACAGCAGGAGCTTGCAACCAGTCCAGGGTCTCATGAAAAGATGAAGCGACTTGAAGGAGACAAAGACAGCTTACAACTCCAGGTAGACCTAAGTTTTAAACCTATATGGTACTGATGAACTTCCTGGCCTAACGTCCTCTTTATAACACAGCGCCATCTAACGGTCAACTGTCCAATAGTGCGTAACCCTATACCCAATGCGAGAACCACCAGTGCAGCTAGGGAAGCAGCAAGTTACAGGACGATACTGCTACAGCTGACCTGAGATGGCGCTAGAGGAGATCTCGCTGTAGTGCTTCTTGTACAGTATGGCTTTAAATATTAAGCCTCTTCGCACTAGGGGAAATCAATATGAATGAAGAAGAAACATTCTATAGAGAATCATCGTAGTGCGAAAGAGGCATATGCCCATGCATGAAGGAAGTATAGAGTAGTGAAGTGTGACGTCATCAAAAATCTCTTTTTAGAATTTCTCAATTTTTTCTTCATTTTCCGAAAGAGCATTAAAAATAATATCCAAATTTCGAAAACTGATTGAATATGTTAAGCATTGGCTGAGATATGATCATCTGAATAATACTTCCCCGTAGGAACTGAGTGTTATTTGCTCTGGCTTCTAACCATTAAGAAAAATGAAGACAAAATTGAGAAATTCTAAAAATAGATTTGTATGATGTCACAGCTTCGGTACTCTATTGTCAAAAGAAATATTGGTCAAAGAAAGTAGTTTACAAAACTCTGATATCTGGCTAATCATCAGTGCATGAGCCCCACCTAGTTATACTGTGGTACCGTTTTTGTGTGTAATAACATTCACATTAGAAGTTGATCCTGATACCATGATTTTGTTTGTTTTGTTTATTTGTAGGTGAATGTATTGACAGATCAGCTTGAGGCCCAGAACGAGAAGATAGAAGAACTAGAGTATGCCTGCGCAAAGAAAAGTAAACAGTTGGCTGATTCAGAGACTAAGTTACTTCAGGTATTATTCAAATTATGTACACATTCCATGAAATTGTCTTTTCAGAGTCAGAGGGGTAGTTAATCTGTTTTAAATTGTGCAAGGAGACAGGGAATATTACTTTGGGATGTATTTTGTGAACTGAATGTCTTCCAGCATCTGTAGATTACGACTAGAGGCCTTTAGGTCCAGTATTTTTTTATTCAACATTTACCAATTCACCTACTCTCTCAGTTTTTTACTCACCCACTCACCCACTTACTAAACCAACCACTCACTCACCCACTCTCCCACTCACTTTCCCATTCACCCACCCACTCACCCGAGGCTCTTCTCACTCGCTGGAAGTTGAAAACAGAAACTGTCAAAATGAAGTGTCAAAATTCAACAATTTAGTTCAATCATTTTGTCCAGATAATTCATGGAACTTGCCAAAGTTTCATGTCCAAGAAAGTTCCCCATGTCATAGCAACCCATGAAAGAATTTTAAATAATATTCTGTTATTTCCCCTGGTATTAAATCAATTCCCATTCGTTTCTTTGTAGGAGTCTGAAATCCACTGTGAACTGGAACAAAGCCAACAGAATTATGCTATAGAGGCTTCTAAACTCAAGGCTCGACTAGACTCTGTGGAGAATGAGACTCTTGTCGTCAGAGAGCGTGCTATCATGGCCGAGGTACGTACTTAAAAGATGGCATAATGAAGATTAATTTTGTTTAAATGTATGTACTTGTATCACGTTACAAAGTATGCATAGCGCAAAGTATGATAAAGGGGATTGCATTTATGAAAAGGCTACAATTGCCATTTTTGCACCATTGGGATTTTTAGTAATCTGTAAAACAAAAGGAAATGTTCAAAATTACATCATAGTAGAACAATCGTCAGTGCTACCTTTCATGAAAAGCATAGTGCATATATCATCTTGGGATAATAATGATGATAGTGGCTTCTCATTAAGTACTCATGTCCATCACTTGGTGCCACTCCTGGTGTTTCATCATTGCTACCATATACCTTCATACACGGCAGCAAAATATGTTGCTCTCTATTTCTATTGTCATCCATTGGAAAGTGGAATATGTGATTGGATTGAGTCAAGTGAATGTACCACGACACCTCCAATTTAAAGCCATACTATACTAGAATCACTACCGCAAAATCTCTTCTAGCGCCATCTCAGGTCAGCAGTAAGGTCATGGTCCCGTAAATCGCTGCTTCCCTGGATGCGCTGTTTGTTCTCACATCAAGTTTTCTGTCTACAAACATTTGTATGCACTTTTATTTAACACTTACTCTGCATTGTGTACTAATAGTATGCTAAGGAGAAGGTACACTGTAGTATATTGTGCATCTATAGATCAACAGATATTTAATGTGTGGAGTTAAAGCCATACTTTACTAGAATCCCCTCTAGCGCCATCTCAGGTCAGCTGTAACAGGATGGCCCCGTAAACTCACTGCTTACCTAGCTGCGCTGTTGGTTCTCGCATCAAGTTTTCTGTCTGGGTGGAGGGAATTAGGTATTGGGATACACACTGTTGGTAAATTTACCATGAGATGGCGCTGTGCAATAAACAGTAGGCAGAAAGTTCACCAGTTCAATATCGCTTTATCTTTGTGCATGTATTTTTTTATTGTATGCAGTCCAAGATTGAGGAGCAGCAACACGAGATGAACAAGTTGATGTCAAAATATCAACAAAGTCAGGTCAGTATTAAAGCCTTGTGCATTATAATGCAGCATTCATATGGCACCCCATTATTTCTGTTAAAGGACAAGTCCACTCGAAAAATAACTTTCTTTCAATAAAAGCAGAAAAATCAGACAAACCAATCAAAAAAAGTTTGAGCAAAATCGGATAACTAATAAGAAAGTTATGAATTTTTGAAAAAGTATGTAAAACTATGGAACAATGAGAATCACAACACAAATTGCCAGGATTGTTATCAGTTTGTGACGTCATGTCCTTACTATTTATCAATTGCCCTATATGGTTGAATCCCATTAATTTCCCTTTTTATTCCCCAAAACTTGATTTCCCCATGCCTTTGCCCAGGTTATATGATATGCTTCATATTGCGTGCATGACATTTCACAAAATCTTTTATGAACTTTGAAGAATTTATACTATTTTCTAAATATTATATATTCTTAATTATTGATTTTTATATAAATAATTTATCAAAATTCATATTTTTCATGATTTAACTGGAAAAAATTACTCAATATTAGTGCATCCACACAAAAGCATATTACTATTAATCTAACTTGGATGCTGGTGTGAAGAAATAAGATTCTTAAGGAGAAAATAGGAAATTTATATCATCAATATAAAGAAAATAATTAGTGGACAGTGAGGACATGACGTCACAGACTCATGAGTGAGTTGCCAATTTGTCTAGTGATTTTCAAAGTTTTTAATGTCATTAAAAATTCATCACTTTCTTATTAGTTATCTGATTTTGCTCAGATTTTTTTGATGGGTTAGTCTGATTTTTCTGCTTCTAAAGTACCGGTAAGTTAATTTTGGAGTGGAATTGGGCTTTAATAACACTCACAGGTGCACACCCCTCCAATGAAGTCAGTATTTTCACTTTTGCTGATATAGGAAAGTTTTGAGGAATTTGACATGTCCTTCCTGAAGACATCAACAAGTGTATAACCTCTGACTCCTTTAAAAAACATGCAAAAATGCTTCTGTTTAATTCTGAATTATTTTTACCTCTGCCTTGAGCACTCTACAGAGTGGATTTAGCGCTATATGAGTTACATGTATTATTATTACAGGGATGCCAGTTTTCAGGCAATAGTCTCAATTCAGGCCCTGGCAAGTTATTTTCAGACCATGGTTCAGGCTTTTTTGTGTACACAATAGCTCATTCTAGGTGATTTTCTGGCCCTCTGATCAATTCTAACTGGCATCCCTGTTATTATTATTCTACTGATTTAGTTCAACCTGACAGTCTTTGCCTAAGATCAAGTTTAACAAAAGAAAACTTAGACCTCAGATTAACTTTCTTTGTTAAACCCAATTTAGAAAGAGCTTAAACCGAGTCTCAGGTTTACATTGTAGTCATATATGGACTAAACCGTGCAGATTTTCCCTTTTAAATGATTAATTTATTATTTCCTTACAGAAAATCGTTGGTGAACTGCAAACGGAATGTCATAAATGGCAGGAGAAGTACATGGAAACGCAGGTATGGTATTCAACACACTATGATACTCTGATTAAGAAATGTTCATATGTGATCTTGTGAAACATGGAAGCATTTGGTTTGACATTTAGGGTCAGGGACGTTGAAGACACCTACAAAGTTCAACTTCAAAAGATTCATGGATCCTTTTTATACCGTAGTCCAAAGTTATCACAATCTCAAAATGAAGGATCTGTATAAAGACTAAACTAGTTAGAGAGCTATACACTGTACAAATATACTGGTATTAAATCCTTCCTCACTTCTTCTACCTTTTGAGTTACGTTATAAATGATGATCAAGTTTACCAACCTGACACTTTACATTTCCTAATTCTGCCATGCAGAAAAGATCAGTTTGTATAGACTTACAATTTCCATAGCACAGATATCAATTGCTTCCACAATCAGAGCTAAATTCATGATTATAAGGCAAAGAGACATCATTTTTGTCATATGATTCTACTATTTAGTCACAGACATGCAGTATGATAATATAGTCAAAACCTGTCTATAGCGACCGCCCAAGGGAAACACCAAAAGTGGCCTTTGTAGACAGGTGGTCACTGAAGCAGGTTTGACTGTATATATGCATGCTACAAGGCTAGATGTGATATATTTTGAGGGATAAGCTACATGTATATTTACAATCTGAAATAAAGATGTTGCTTAACATGAAGCAATGTCATTACCCACAATTGCTACCCCTTCCTGGTAGGTCAAGCTAGTTAGGTCACAGACGGAGACAGCAGAGCTCAAGGCTCGTCTGCGCTACAGCCATGTGAGTGCGCCCTCTTGTGTTCGGAATGTGCACACCCTGGAATGCCGTGCTTTCACTCACCCTTTAACTCTCTTAATGAATGAAACTTCTTCTCAAGGGCCGTCCACATGTGGCACAGTAAATCATGGCAGGTTTTCTGTTCTTGTAACGAACAAAGCATTATACGCTTCACACTTTGGTATCTTACATCACACAGATAGCGAGTGGGCGTAGGACTTTTGATGTGCGCAAAGCATTTTCTTTCATCCCATTTTGCCATTTGTGATTATATACAATTTTAAAAAGGAAGAAAAAGAAAATCTGCCATGGTTTGCTGCGTCATTTGTGAACGATCCACTTATCTTTTTGTTTGTATTTATTTTAACCATTCTTGGCTTGGTTTCATAAAACTTGTTATCAAGAACAAGTGCTAAAATTCTATTCCTGACAATTTTGCTCTCAGCCAATCAAATGCAATAATTGAGTAGCTAATAAGAGATATAAACTTGTTATTGGTAACAGGTTTTAATGAAACGGGCCAAGTGAAGAGTTATGGCAAGGATATTATCTTGTACATGCGTTTTTATAGGAGTGAACAGAAAGTCATGTAGGGGCTTGTTTCTAATTGAAGCGGTAATCACCTATGAATTTGTCATTAATTTTTTTATTTTGGGAGACAAAAGCATTATCCACCAATTTTGTTTTAGTTTGTCATTAGGCCTACCTATCTACATGTAGTTTTTGTTTTTGTTTTGGGTTCAAGATGTTAATTCATTTCTCCATACTGTTAGATGTAATTCAATGTACCCTAAAGCTGGGATTACTTTGATGAGCGCTTGTGTAAACCTGAGAAGGAACCCGTAGCCTATGGAGCATTGGGGGAAGGGGCAGATTGGTAACATGCCAATGTAGCCTTTGTTCTGTTTGTCATAAGCTAAAGATGATGTAAAGTCCACCACAAGTATCTTCTTGTTTTACAACTAATGCAGGAAGTTTATGGCATCAGGTTTTAATGACATATATCAAACTCTGTGCCAATGATTTTTCTCAGTATTGAGAATGCCGGGGATAGTAACTTGATTACATCCCTATTAAAAGTTTGATTTTTATAAGTAAACTTCCTTCTTGAGTCCCTCAAATTTCAGTTTTTTATTCCACTTCTAGAAGAAACCACGCAAACCAAAGAGGCACCTCTTTCGTTTGCCTATGCGCCCAGTAAGTCATGAATACACTCTCAAGCAAAATCTGATTCAAATTCAAAATTATGGTGAAGCAGCTTCAAAGAGTATTTGCGCTTTAATAGTTCAAACTTTGAAATAAGGATAATTACAAACTAGAGATCTGTTAAACTTGTAATTCTGCTTCGTACTAGACAATAATAATAATAATAGAAACGGTGCTTATAAAGCGCTTACCACCGGAGTCTCTAAGCGCTATAACATACTACTCTATATGTAAAATATTATGTCAACGGCAAATACGAGCTTAACAATTATTTGGTTTGCACTGAAGTGCAAGCTAGGTTTACTAGGTGCTTATTTAGAATAATTGTAGAAGTGATAGTTGATATAAAAGTAGACATTGTAAAGTCAAGTTGATGTACATTTAACTTAGTTGTTGGTTTGCAATAGAATTAGGTGCTTAGTTACATGTAGAATAACAACAGAAAAGAGAACCATAATTATGTCACCCTTGTAGTTCTTTAAAATGTATAGATAACAATGTCAAGTCCTTGAACATTCAATATATTTTCATTAGCAGAGTTAGTAGAGATACATGTAGGTTCCTACTTAGTACAACATAAGAAACAAATAATGACGTCATCTTGACAGTTCATTTAATGGCTTAATGGTAGAGCAGTGATCTCGAAATCAGGATATCCCGGGGTCGAAACTAAGTCAATGCGCTAGTGCTCTTTCGTAAGGCATTAATCCTCATTTCCAAGTCTCTCAGAGAGGTCTTACAGCCGTCGACCCATGGGTGCTTATCTACTAGCATACACATACCGGTGTGTTGTCTCAGTCAGTAGAGCGTCCGCCTGACAACCGGGAGGTCGTGGGTTTGAACCCTGGCCGCGTCATACCAAAAGACTTTAAAAGACAGGAGTTGCTGCTACCTTGTTTGGCGTTCAATAATAAGGGATAGAGCAACGTTGATCTGGCGCTGCTCAGTGGCTGCCGGGCTCACGATCAATTGGGCCAAAAGAATTTCCAATTGCGGTTTAACTTAATACAATTTGGAGTGGAATTTAAAAGATTATTATTATTGTTATTATTATTTTTGTCTGGTTAAAACAGACCATCAATCAATCTAAAGGAGAGATTATAAATTCAAAATGATAAATACATGTATTGTGTAAATTCAGATTTACATCAAGGCTCCCTCCTGCATTTAAACTTTGAAATGTAGAAAGTGCTGCATAAATGCTTTGACTGATTTATATGTCAACTTATTGCTAAAAACCAAGCACAATATTTTACATGTACAATTGCCTTTTTTTAGCACAGCAGAGATGGAATCAAAATTTTGGGTAATAATTGTAGTTGAGATTGTATTATGGACTGACACAGATGGAGTCAGTGAGTGAAGGAGTGAGAGAGAAAAAGAGAGAAGAGAGAGAGAGAGAGAGAGAGAGAGAGAGAATAGGAAAAAGAGAAGAGAAGAAAGAAAAAGATGAAAAGTTATACCCAGAAAATAATTTTAATTTACACAATTGGTATAGAAAATTGCCTCTTACTCTATAAACTTCAATGTTCTGCAATGAAATGTTAAACACCCATCCAAAGACATAATTTAGATGTTTTTGCACTTTAATTTTCCCTTAAGTATGTGTCCACTAACATAGACCTGGTATTATGGTCCCACTAACTGCATTTCTTGTAGGTATTTTTGGCTGATTGACCCCTTGGTATGGCTTCTGCTGTAGAGATATGGAAATATTTCCTTGAATGAAAATGTTACTATATTTTTGTCTTACTTGTAACAGCTGCAGTCATATTCATTTTTACACCGCAGAGCATCTATTTTGTCAATTTAGTTTATATAGATAATCACTGATTTCATGAACAGGCATACACTATGAATATGACTGACAAAGAAAGCGGACAAAATATACAGTTCCTGAGATAGACAAAGGAACATCCCTTCACTGCTATTATGTAAAAATGTGTAGAACAGGTGTCACATGCATATTTACCTGTTCTACACATTTGTACATAATAGCAGTGAAGGGATGTTCCTTTGTCTACCTGAGGAACTGTATATTTTGTCCGCTTTCTTTGTCAGTCATATTCATAGTGATATGTGCAGTTATTGTAAGCCTTTGCTACAGGCTTATTGTTTATTCACAAATCAAGCAATTGATTCAAATGAAAAATGTTTTATTTAAAGAAAAAAGTAGTCATACATATATTTCTTATTATTGATTGAAGTAGTGCAGAATACAACATACTATTAACATTAGAAAATAATGAATTAATAGTGATACATTTAGATATAATTATATTAAAATAAGCAGGACAATGTTATAACGTGACATTTCATAGATATTGAAATGTTTAATAGTGACTGCAGCTGGATGGCGTACAAGAACGCATTAATTTGTTTGCTGACATGGAGTGTTTATTACCAGCATGAGTGATTTGAATGGATGACATACAGTATCACTTCTACAATCTCATTCATGCATGGAGCTGAGTCTCTCTATGTCTTGTGATTATTTAAGTATGGTATCCCCTCTGAAACAAATTTTCTTTCTATATGAAAATGAAATTTTTTGAATGTTTTTTTCTCAGTGTGTTTGAGACTTATTTGACGTTTTATACATTCATTTCTTTAATTGTTTTTCAAAACTTACGTTCATGTTTTTTCAAAGGACAACATGGTTTGCTTTATTTTATTTTATTGTTTAAATGGGTCTTTAATTATTTGGTTTTCTTGGATTCAGTGATTATATATTTTATTTCGACCCAAAATTGTCACACTTACATTTCCTGATTTGCATGGTACACATCTCATAAGTTCTATATTTTTTCTGTAATTCTCTTTCTTTTAAAATGAATTTAAATTTCAATTATCGGGGTTCATACATTTTTCATGTTTACATAATTGATGTCTAATTATTGTTTTGCAAGGAACACATTTGAATGAAGAAAAAAAAATATTGCGTAGCTATCTCATTGATATTGAGAAACAATGATATGATTTGAGATGCTATGTTTTAGAGAATTGTGTTAATTTTGTATTTTCTTGTGGTTGCATTATCAATTGAATCCAATCCAATCCAATCCAAAAGATATTTGATATAGCGCCTTTTCCTTGCAATTACGAAGCACTGCACACACGCTCCTCAATGTTTGGGCCACTTAAAATAAAAGTTAGACACTTCTCAGAGATCAGTAAAGTATATGTAGGCTGGGTATAAAGTAATTTCTAGCAGAATAAATGTAACTTGAGTAATTTTTCTTGAACTGGTCAACAGATGAGGCTGTCTGCACAGCAATAGGTAGCTTACCCATCACAGACAATATCTACCGTAAATGTTCTTTATGTAGAGCATTGACTCTCTTATGTGATCCCTAAATTTCAGAACGTTTTCTCAGATTTTGTAACAGAATATTTCAGCTTTTTAATCTATCTTTCTTTGTATGATGAGGATGGGTCGTGAGGACCAGCTTTAATGTGATGACATTTGAATATGTGATGTGTAATCAAATTGTAGAATTAAAATGTGGAAATTGTATTTTTCTTCTCTATTCTTTCCAGGCTCTTCTTGATGATCTTCAAGCCAAGAAAGTCAAAACTCTAGATAAAGGTAGGATGTTCATCATCATCCTTTTCTTCTTCCACTTCTTCTCTCCTTCATCCCTCCTCCCCTTCTTCTTAATCTCCTTCTTGTTCTTGTTCTTGTTGTTGTTCTTGTTTTTTTCTTCTTCTCCTTCTTCTTCTTCTTCTTCTTCTTTCTAATATCGTTATCTCCAAGCCAAGAAAGTAAAAACTCTAGATAAAGGTATATATGCATATTTACAAGTAAATTGATAAGGGCAATTTTGTTTCGATAGTAATAGTTTTTTCATAGTCTTCATTTAGAAAATATTGAATCTTGTAATACGATGTTAAGGGTTGTAGCGCTTGTTGTTGCACTCCATTGTTGCTGTCCTGTAGGATAATGACCTAGATTTCATGCATGGATATTGTGATATCAGTATGTTCCTATTATGTAATTATCACATTACAAATTGAAATATGGTAATATCAATAGACTTACTTTTTAAGATCAAACCCAGTGGAAACTCGTTATAAATAACATAACTCACCTTAGGATGGGGTACCTGTATTCAGTCACACTCTTGTTTTTCATTGTTTTCAGTCTTGATAAAACAAGATGGTAATATAACAAGTTAACTTCCTTAGTTCCAACAAGTTTTTTCTTGTTGCTTGTTTACTTATTAAGTAGGAAATCAAGATGATTTTATCAAATACATGTTATTTTCTTGTTTCTTCATATATTGTAGAAGAAGTGATTCCCTTGAGATATTTATGCAATATTTACATGCTTAAATAATATTTTTCTTATTTCTTTTTTTACTTAGAAGTAGAAAAAGAGAAACTAAAGATTGCTGTAGATTCTCTGATAGCTGGCAACAAAGAAAAGGTGAGGATAAGCTTGATTTGTTTTGTCTGTTTGGAGCCAGAAGGGCATTAGCATCACTTCACCCACACACCTCACCCTCTTTTGTCTCTAAATAGACTTTCATTTAATTTTACCCATTTTGTGCCATTTTGAACGAAAAAAAGCCCAACTATGCTTTTATTCTCTTCCTTAAAGGTAAAGACTGGTAGTGGTAGAATTGCGGTTCAATGGTTTTGGGTGCAAAATATCCATTCAATATTGTTTCAATGTTGCCTTCAGAGGTTTAGATTGCAATACTTCAACCTAAATTTGCAAAAAAAGCAGCAATATATGACCAAATGTTCAATGTTAAAGTTAATTTGCGATATCTATCCAGACTGGATCGATATAATAATTTACCAAATATATCAATTAGTAGGTCGTTTCCCAGCAAAATTTGTATCACGTATTAGTCAAAAATTATTCTTTCACATGATTTGTTAATAAGAGCTTCCATTCCATTTTTTGAGAGGGGGGGGGGGGGGGGGGGCGTTTCCAAAACTGGTCTATTCCTTTAAGCAGGCTTGTACTTGGGGTTTTCTGTATTTTGTGTAGTTTTTGTATGGAAGTTATAACAGTGTACAGTGTACAGTGTACCTGTACATGCACATATGTAAATCATACCGGTACCTGTTTTCTTTTTACCAATTAAGGACAAGACGATAGAAGATTTGAACCAGAGGTTATCAAAGTTCTACCATGTACAGGAAATGGCAGCCATCAATGGAAGAGGTAAAGTATTTACACTTCATTTTTTTCTTGGGAGGAGGAGGGGGAGGACGGAGGGGGTTGAGGGGGGATGGGGTGGTGGGTGTTGTTTGTTGGTGGTGCTAGGTATAATGATATTTTTAATTTAGCATTAATTACTATCAAGATAGATTTCATTTTCGGATGAAAGAATTGGATGACAGGCAAATGTCATATCTGATTGCATGGATTGCCCTTCTGTCTTACAATTTGTGAATAATTAAGACATTTAATTATCCTTTGTTGTGTGATCCAGCATGTCTGGTATTTATCTCTTTACAACATTATCCAGTTGTAAAGAGAAGAGAATCTAGCACTCTTAATAAAGACTAGATGGTGGCAGCTTACTAGATGTTGAGATAGTTTACTTGATCTTGGTGGCAAAGTAATGTGCAAACCCCCTCTTTCTCTCATTGGGAATTACACCACCTCTCTTCCTCTTACACCCCCTCTTCCTCCCATATCCTTCTTCTTCTGTGGTTAGCTATGATTATTAAACATTAACCCCCCCCCCCTATTCCGCCGCAATTTCAATTTTACTATTTCTTTTATGTCTTTGTTTCAGTTGAAATAGATATGCTGCTTGACATTGAAAACCAAAGAACAGATAGTTTCTCAACCTCCAGCTCAGCTACCGGAGAGACAGACACATCAAAGGATAGCGTAAGTTCACTCTTAAAGCCATACTATACTGCAAATTCCCCTCTCAGCACCATCTCAGGTCAGCTGTAGCAGTATGGTCCCGTAACTCATTGCTTCCCATGCATTTTAGTTGTTAGTTCTCGCATCAAGCCCTATGTCTGCGATGTGGAAAAACGTGTTGGGTACACATTTAAGTTAACCACAAGATGGTACTAGGCAGTAAACAGTACGCTAGGGCAGTAAGTTAGTCGGTTCAATATGGCTTTAATGGGTGCCAGTGTTCAAACCTGCCCATTGCATGCCCTGTAACCTGTTCTGTTCAGGTATACATGTGCAGATGTTATGTCGGCAGAAAAGAATGATTCCTGCAAAGACTTAAAAGAGGTGTCGTGGTCGAGTGGATATGTCACCGGACTGTGGATCACGAGGTCCGTGGTTCAAGTCCCGCCACGGCACTAATGTCCTTTGGCAAGACATTGATCTACGTTTGCCAGTCTCCACCCAGGTGTTAAATGGGTACCCGGTAGGATGCGAAAGTTAATGTGGTTGGATTAGCAAGTGGCGCTTGTAAAATGGCGACTAGCTGGAATGCTCCCCAGGGAGTGGAAAATGTGCATACATTGTGTTGCGGGTAAGCCTGAATCCGATGACCGGGGTAATAATATGTTCCGTGCCTAGAAACAAAGTATTAGGCGCATTATAGATGTGAGCTATTATTATTATTATTAATAAAATATAACAACTCAAGGGCAATTTTGAGTCTCCTCGAGTGCCTATCTTCTTTTTCTTTTGTACAGGTATGAGACGGTAGAATTGACACTAGTAAAATATAATGAACATAACAAAAATACTATGTGGTGATCATGGTGTCCTCCCACAAAAAAAACGAACAGATAATGGTAGTCTGACCGCACCAATTTTTTTGCATTCATAATATTGTTGGTTCTGTCAATCACACATTATGGACACTGATCCATCCCTTCTCCTGTCCTGCCACTAATTACAACGGAGTACAATTATTGGCTCACAGATATTCCTCCATACTGTAATTAAGAGCTCACAAATTATCTTTAAATGTGTCTTCTGACAGCATCAGGTCTAGAACTTAATTTTGTTTGTTAATGTGTCCTTTCACAGCGCCAGGTCCAGAACTCAATTTTGTCTTTATCTGTGTCCTTTCACAGTGCCAGGTCCAGAACTCAATTCCATCTGTTACTGTGATCGTTCACAGCGCCAGTTCCAGAACTCAATTTTGTCTTTTACTGTGTCCTCTGACAGCGCCTGGTCCAGAACTAAATTTTGTCTTTATCTGTGTCCTCTGACAGCACCAGGTCCAGAACTCAATTTTGTCTTTGTCTGTGTCCTTTCACAGTGCCAGGTCCAGAACTAAATTTTGTATTTATCTTAGACCTTTCACAGCACCAGGTCTAGAACTCAGTTTTGTCTTTATCTGTGTTTTTTCACAGCACCTGGGACCCATTTCACAAAGCCTTTTTTCAATGACAAATGACAAAAATCAGTGACAAATCTGCTGATAACCAATCAGAAGCAAGGATTTCAGTAGCTTATAACAAAAACTGTCATTCGTCACTGATGACAAGTTTTGTGAAATGCCACCCAGGTCTAGAACTCAATTTTGCTTTTATCTGTTTCCTTATACAGCACCAGGTCCCACAAGGATCCAGCCCAGTCAGTCCAGACAGAGACTACACCATGATGGTGGATAGGACTGAGGAGATGTTTGGGTCCAAGACCAGCCGACGATCGGCAAGTCTGGAGAATCTACAAACCAATGTCCTACCATCAACGGTAAGTCTTTTTCACAGTTTTCATCTGATGTAAAGTAGTGCATGTGCAGTGAATGGTCGATAGATTAGGTGTTGTTAGTATAAATCCTAGATATAGCTCATAGAGTTAGCTAAATAAATGTGCCCTTCTGTCTTGAAATTTGCAAGAACCTGTTGTTGTCTTTGTGCCTTTTATTGTATGTAAAGGCACAAAAACCACAAGAAGTTCTTGTGAATCCCTCTTATTCGTTCCAAAATGTTCATGTAATTGTTCTTGAATAAATGTTTTTTTTATATAATTAAAGATGAAATTCAGCCACTACATGTACAATAGGTTTAAGACTGAAATGAAATAAACTTCATTTAATCACTTTCCTGAATATGAATGTATGAACATATTCTAAAATAAATATATTTTACTCTACATATGACTCTTGGAAAACTTCACCGTCATAAACACTGTTGCCCAAAAAGTTGAAATCATTGTTCCTACCTCTATTCAGGAAATGTTTCTGATTTATTCTTGAAAGATACATTGTAAAGTTCTTGAAATGCACTTACCGCTATGATTGCTGGAGCTAAAGCTAGGATAATAATAATATCTGAAATTCTGTAGGAGCATATCGTCGGTGGGGGTGACAAAACCTTGTGTCTCAAAAATCGTGAATTTTCAGGAGAGCGAAAAAACCTTTCCTGTCTCAACAGATTTAGTGCTGTGACACCGTCCTTTGTGTGGAATTTGTGAAAAAACCGAGACAGGAGGCGTTCCATGGATTTATGAGGTGGTGTCGTAGGCCATTAGGTACAAAATGATGCAAAAAATCTAAATCTCAAAAATTGAGATACAAGGTTTTGTCACCCCACCGACCAATATAGAGATGTTATATCTTAATGTGATTTTCAATATTCAAGAACGGAATATCGTTATCGTTATGAGTAAAAAAGGATTCTTTATTTGTTAGGGTTGTTCAGTGGATCATGGTTTCAAGATTAACCACGAAGGAGGAAACTCATTCCAAGAAAATGTTTGAAAGTTGGTGGCACTGTAACATTTGAATGCACTTTTATTTAACACATACTCTGCATTGTGTACTAATAGTATGCTAAGGAGAGGGTGGTGTGCATCTACAGATCAACAGATATTTGATGTGAGGAGTTAAAGCCATACTTTACTAGAAGCATTACCACAAAATCCCCTCTAGCACCATCTCAGGTCAGCTGTAGCAGTATTGTCCCGTAACTTGCTGCTTCACTAGCGGCACGTTTGGTTCTCGCATGGAGTCCTCTGTGTGGGGAAGTAGGTTATGGGTTACGCAAGTTGACCATGAGATGGCACCGAACAATTAAACAGTATGCTAGGGCTAAAAACATATCCGGGCCTGTTGCATATAACTTACCATTGATGATATAAATGGTAATTCAGCCATCAATGACAACTACCATCATGACGGTAACAGGGCTCAATAGTCATCCATGGCAGTTACCATTGATGACAAAGTTACCATCAATGGTAAGTTTTGTGCACCGGGCCCAGCTCAGTATCGTTTTAACAATGAACCTCAAATTCAGTTCTCGTAATATTTCCTGCATTGCTCAGAAAATGAGTTGAACTAAGTCAGAAAGGTGACTCGTGATCTGTCTCTTTTTTTGAAAGAAGTAGGTCTATTCATATCTTTTATTAAGTGAATTACCTTTTTTAGATATTTTCACCGGCAGAAATACAGCTAGTTTTTTAATTGCTGTTGAAATAGAAATTGTTTATTCACTAAAAGTTCACGATTGCAAATGGTTAGATTGTGAAATAATTGAAGGAAATGCAATCATAAAGTACAATGTTATCAGCCTCGTGTCAATTGATGAATGTGCTCTTCCTACTTTCTTATTATGTCCTGTAGCGTATGAAAAAGGCAAAATCAACTATGGTAAATTTTAAAAATTTTAACAAAGCATACTCATTCACTTCTTAGTTCTCAACGAGCATTATATTCCTCCTTCTTATATTGTATTACCAAGTAAATATAATAATCAAGTCAATCATTCGCAATGACCTTCTCTGTCTATTGCTTCATAAATGTTTGCATTTTGAGCTGATATTCTCCAGTATATATTTACATTTACATCTGTCCCTGTCATTGTAAAACATACAAATGTTATACTCCACCCATATATATATATATATATATATAATGCATTAATTATCCAATGTTCAATGAGCTCTCCTGTATAAGCATGTCGACCTCGTAGGATAGACTAAAAACAGAATTTTGAAAAAGAGGGGAAATAACCTAAAAAATTGTTCAGTGAAGTTAAAGTTCGAAATTCTGAATAACTCATTTGATGTCCATATTAATCATGGTCTTTTTCAGTGATATTGATAACAGTCTAAAAAGAGTCTAAAGAGTGTTTAATATGGGTGTGTATTTAAAACATTAGCATTATAGACTTTGTGATATATTCTGATCGTGTGTTTCTGTTTCATGCCATGTACCAATATATTCATGAAAGTTATTAATTACTTCCTATTATGTCAAAACTTACAAGTATGTAACGTTATAAAGAATGTGTATGATCATACCAATTGATGTTTTGTAATTCATGTTGATATTTGCATTTCCCTTGCATGTTTTCTGTCCCTACAGAATGAACTTTCCTCTGACCTTTCCCATCCCTCTCCTGACCCTCAAACGGACTTACCTGTAACAGGTGGCCCTAGAACTATACACGTCCCTATACATATCCAAGGGGGCACCGTACAACCCCTTCACTCCACCCCTCAAGCTCCCAACCAGGACAGTTCAACCTTCCTTACAGAAGACCCTAGAACTATCCATGTTCCTATCCATGTTGAAAGGCTCTCACCAGGGCTAGCAGATCCCTCTTCCCTTCCAGGAGACATGGAACATCTGACCACAGGGTTACCAGAGGTGGTCACTTCTGCTTCAAGCAAAACCCCTCCTTTCCCAACCAATAGTGACCCAAGCTGGGAAGCTGTCCCTAAGAAGGTCAACTTTGACCTGGACGCAACGACGGAGATCAGTAACGATCAGAGAAGTTCAGTGGGCGAAGACTTTGAAGAAAGGCCGGGTATTGATCATGTGAGCGTGTTCCTCACTCAGGGCGCTAACTGCAGTCCTTCAAACACAAATGGCTATTTAGGGAACGGGGTACGACCCGACTCCTTAGACTCCCCTACTGACCTGACCTTCATTGACATTGACGACGCCAACATGGCACATTTCCGTCGTGACGTTTCCCCCATTTCAGGTCATTTGACCCTACCTGCTCCCAAGAAAACGACCGACTCAGAGGTAATCATACCGTTCTTTCTTACGCCTTTTTTTACCAGCAAATCGACCTTTTGCTTTCATCCTTCTTTGTGTTTATATATCCATTCCATACCTTAAACTATTAATACACTATGTTTTTTCCTTTTGGAATTAAAACAGTTTGTGCCTTTGCTTCCTGTTTAACCAGTTACCATGGCAACAAATGGTGCATGGCTTTGTTCTGCAAATTTTAATTCACTTTCTTCAAATTTTGTATTTCATAATGTTGTTTAGTTCCATCATTGTAGATATGAACTAAACCCTAAGCATATAGAATAATGATAATGCTACTACTTCTCCATCTATAACTTAAATAATTAACTTAAATAATTGTGTTACAAAAGCTAAATTGGCATTGAGCTACCTCTGGTGCATTTAATTCATTAAACTAACATTTAGAACTTCACATCTTAATCATCAAAATAACAGTTTATTGCAGAGCTGCTTTTAATAGCCAGATATATGTGTCATCTTCATGTAGACTTCTTGTTAGTACCTAATGAATCATATTAAAGATGTGGCTTCCTAATATTTATCTTTGACCCTGATTTCTTTAGATTCTTTTTTAAAGGGTCATATGGAACAGAAAGCTAAAAAAGTAGTATTGAAGAAAAATGAGTAGAAACAAAATAAAGATGAAGAACTTGAATAGTGAAATTTTCCCTTCCTGTTTGCTTTATAGCTCTGTTTAACGTTTAGTTTGAAAATCTGGACTATTTCTTGTGTTATCTGAAGCATTCACATAAATTTCAAATTATGAATACAGCTGCTGCCTTTTAAAGAATTCTCCTGTATAGTTCTTTAGGTTCCAGCTGCTTTTGGATTCACATATTTGTGTTTTCAATAGTAACCCTTGGAAGTGTCCTTGGCTGCTAAACACAAACTAAAACATCTACAAATGAAACACATTCCAATATCAATTTATTTATTTATTATATATTTATTACATTAAAAAAAAAAATGATATGGTATTTTTTTTTAATGTCTCCACATGTGCCGTCTTTCACATTCATGTTTTTATCTAATCATCTGTTGAGCCAGAGGCCAGTTTCTCAAAACCGTCATTTGTACAACTTCTTGGACATCCCATAGAAACGTGTCTTAATTTTTCTATAAGACACATTTTGGTGTCCAATGTCCAAGAAGTTATACTTTTGACAATTTTAAAAAACGGTCCTCCCTGAATGGCATTAACTCACTTTGGTGTTATTGCCCTTTTGGCTCTCAGCGGCAGTAATTGTACAGTGTGGTGCACTCCATGGCTGAGGCTTGCTACATTCTCCCCTGTCTGAAATACTTTGTGTAATGTTTGTTTAGAGCCGAAGGGCATTGAATCTTGTCATTTTTAATACACAAAGCTATTTTCCTTTCATTGTTCCAAAGAGTCCATATTTTATTTTTCACCATAAATCTGCATGCTATGATGTTAATCATTTTATTGATATATTCCAATGAATATATTTTCGATATTATCGTAGGAAATGAATTGACAGTCCATAGCCCAAAGTGCGCTAACTGTATGTTAAAGTATACAAGTAAGCATCCTTCTGGCTCCAAACAGACAACATTAAGGAAGGCGTCCATCTTGAGGGCAGTTCTTGACCAGTACCTTGCAGCTAATGCAGGGCTGACAATAAAAACACATCCTGGACACATTGGTGCCCAAAATCTACGTTCAGGGGGGTGTTTCGCAAAGATCTTAAGTTGAACTTATCTCTAAGTTGGACATAAATATTATGGATAGCCATTTGTAGCCGTGCATGGCTCTGATCAAGGGCACTATAGTGTTACATATGAGGTGAATTTTAAAAGTCAATTATAGACTGTGGCAACATTATTTTTGTAATCTGCAAACATTATGCAACACATAGCTAAAAAATCAGAACTTAACAAATTGCCGTTAAACGGCAATCAGTAGCCAAATATCACATCTTCAAAAATGTTACGTACATAACTCGGTGTCCACTTCATGCTGATATTTCTCTTATAATTTAAATTTTTTCTGACAAAGTACATTAGATGTTAAAACATACCGTAAACAAAACTTAAAACCATTGCCATATCAACTTTTTTCAATTTAGTTATTAGAATATGGCCAAAACAAATGTGGACACCGAGTTATGTACAGTACATCTTATTCTCTGCATGCTTTCTCTTTGCCTTATTGTCAGATATGGTTTTGCATTAGTCTAATAACAACTTCAATTGAAGGAATGATGTGTTTCCTGAATGAAACATAATTTGCAATGTGTAAATAGTTTGTAAACTACTATTTCAGGACTGAAATGTAAGATTTATGTACTTAATCGTACATAACTGTGGACACCAAAAGTAAGTAGTTATACATTCAAATAATAACTTGTCGTTCCTTAAATTCAATAAATGTTTGTTTAAATGAAAATGCAGAAGGGTGCAATTCATGCTGTAAGAAATAAATTGATTTAATTACGATAATTCATTTCAATTTTTGATTGGTAGTAACGTACATAACTCGGTGTCTTTTCATAACGGTGTCTTAGTTATGTACATGACATGAAAAAGTTCAAACTGCAATATTTTGTAATATTGTTCTCACCAAATCAGATGTGTGTACATGTCTTATACATTTTTTACTACCTTACCATGACAAATAACTAAATATAGGTGGTCTTATTGGAAAAAACAAAACATGGAATACGTACATAACTGTCACGTACATAACTCGATGTCCACATTCATTGTTGATTAAATAACACATACAAGCTAAAATGGGGAATCCAATGTTATCAGTGCTCTTCATTCACCTATATACACCATTACATTATCATTTTGAAAGAATACAATATGTTTTTGTATAGATTCTGTTGCACTGGTATGTACATAACTGCAGGACACCAAACATTTTCCATTTACAGAAATCTAGATATTTTTAAAATGATGACCCAGAATGAAATGATCTGATTGGAAATCAAAGATAAAGTGAAACTAAACATTATAACATTGCAATCTTGTAAAAAAATCAATTATTTATGCACCATTCTTCAGTTAGTAAAGTTTGAAATTTGCAGGACACCAAAGTTATGTACATATCACAAAAATTGGATCACATGTAAATGGAATAAGAAAGTAAAATAATAGGAATTAACTCAACAGAAATGTTAATTATTACATAGACTCTACATCAAGATAAAAAAAATCATAAGTTTTGCATCCCATTAGTAAAAAATCTGGTAACCAATTAGTGCATGTTTTGAATGTAACATTAAAAGTGCTGAAAATAGGCCTTTTTACATCATAAAATTGCTCTAAAATCTTTAATTTGAACTCAATGAAACTGAAACCTTGTTTGGAGCTTCCCCCAATGGTACTTTCTAATATAAAAATGCTAATTTGTGTCTGGGTCTCATGGTTTTGGATAATTAAACAATTTCCCAGTGTTCAATCTAAGGGTACCCTTGATCTGAGCCATGCACAGCCGATAAAATATATTCAAAAGCGAAAATTCAAGTATTTTAGACTTTTTATAAATTCCACATCAAAAACGTGACATATCCTTGAAAATAGAATATATGAATGATTTGAATCAACATTCTATGCCTTTTAAAATAACTTTTACAAAATATTTTCAAAGATGCTAACAGCATTCCATAATTTTTAAGTCCAACTTAGAGATAAGTTCAAATTAGGATCTTTGTGAAGCACCCCCCCCCTCCCCCAGGACACATTGGTGCCCCTAATCTACATGTACATGTAGGTCCAGACTCTCAAATTCTTAAACGTTTTACAGAGGGGTGATGCATGCAGACACTGAAAAGTGCAATGCAGACCCCAAGGGCCCCAACCAAAGCAGCCCGTATGGAGCCCAGGCTAATGCCATGTCGAGAGACATTCTCTTGTTCTCTGCACTGTGAAGAGGGTCTGTCATATCAGGGGACTGTGCAAACTTTGTCTTTTTCTCTTTAGCAAGAGGAATAGCATTGTGTGTTGGAAGGATGATTAGAGGGTAGAGGCACAAGTACTGTTTAATGTTGCAGGGTACATCACGAATTAGGTAAAGATCAACTCCTTACTCTTCATTTAAATATTATTTAATGAATGATTTTAAAGCCCCACTGCACTACTTATAGCTACTTGCGCCCTTTTTATAACAAACCATGCCTATTCAGTGACCATTGGTCCCCCATGATGCCCTTTTTCTTATGTTAATTGAGAGCTGATTTGATGAGATAACCACCTGTCAGTGACCATGCAGGGAAGTCTAATCCCTCCTGGCCAAACTGGTGCAGAGGGGGTTTAAATATTATTTAATGACTGATTTTAAGTGTAATGTACTTTGTTTTAATCCATTTACAATAAAGATTAGCATGTTGCATTTTCCACCTCCAAGATAGTACCTATACGATCTTGTTAGATATTTTTGGACAAGCTGCATTAAATCTCACTCTGATTTGAGTTCTTTGTGTGGAATGCTATTTATGTTTGGATGCTGCACTAACCTTTTTATAATTGATTCACCCCTGTGTTCCTTATAACATTCAGATCTATGTATGTATCCTTATCTATGCATTAAGGTGCACCTTATAACATTCAGATCTATGTATCTATCCTTATCTATGTGTTAGAGCAATACTGTACTAGAAATATCCTCTAGCGCCATCTTGGGTCAGCTATAGCAGTAGGGTTTTGTAGCTCTCTACTTCCCTAGCTGCCACTATGAATATGACGGACAAAGAAAGAGGACAAACTATACAGTTCCTCAGGTAGACAAAGGAACAACCCTTCACTGCTATTATGTAAAAATGTGTAGAACAGGTGTCACATGCATATTCACCTGTTCTACTCATTTTTACATAATAGCAGTGAAGAGATGTTCCTTTGTCTACCTGAGGAACTGGATATTTTGTCCTCTTTCTTTGTCGGTCATATTCATGCGCTGTTGATTCTCGCATCAAGTTTTCCATCTGCAAAGTGGGAAGTAGGTTTAGGGTATAATACGCACTGTTGGAATTTTGACCATGAGATGGCGCTGTGCAATAAACAGTATGCTAGGGCAATAAGTTCATTAGTTCAGTATCGCTTTAATCAATCGTTCTGTTTTCAAATTTATTTCATAATATTGTAATCACATCATTCAAGCATTTATTTCATTGTGCTCATTTACATATATCTGCTATCATGCTACTGTGTATACCACTATTCAATAATACTATGCTATAACTAATTATGTTATACTTCATATTATTAACCAGCTTTTTGTAAATAGGTAAGGTCTATAATCTGAATATTTTACCACTTTTCTTTGAATTCTGCTTTCTTGTTTTCCAACACTGTGAAAGAGGTCTCTATGATTCTATTATGCACTGATATGAATGCTTAATTTGTTATTCGTAACTAAAATAATATGTGTCGATAGGAAAAGAGCAAAGAAGTTTCATTTAAATTTCTAAATTTACTTGTAAGCCTGTTATGGCAGTGTTATGTAAGATGATATTGACTATAATGTTTTAAGGTATAGAGGGCAGACTTGATGATTGTTAACATTTCCACCCCCTGTGGACTTACAGATGTTCTCACAGTGACACGACACGCATTGTCTCTGTTTTTGTTGAATATGGAAGGGACCTGGTAATACCACAGTCACACCAGTAAACAAACTCCACACTGATTCCAAACTGACCGATTCCAAACTGACCAATTCCAAACTGACCTATTCTAAACTGACCGATTCTAAACTGACCGATTCCAAACTGACCAATTCTAAACTGACCTATTCTAAACTGACCGATTCTAAACTGACCGATTCTAAACTGACCAATTCTAAACTGACCGATTCTAAACTGACCGATTCTAAACTGACCAATTCTAAAGTGACCAATTCTAAAGTGACCGATTCTAAACTGACCAATTCTAAAGTGACCAATTCTAAAGTGACCGATTCTTTTCCACTTGCTGTCCGGTCATTTTGGTTCGGTTGGTGTGGTGTTGCTTTCATTGGTGTGATTTGGGTATTCTACTTCCACATTTCCCTGAGTAAATAACATGGCTTATATTACACCTTCTGTTGTATGCTTCATTTCAAAACAAGGGCATATCTACATGGTGGAATATACAGAGAATATCCAGAGAGAAAGTTAGGAGGGGGAGGGGTGCATGGATATAAAATAACACTTTTCTGTCGTAAAATGTGAAAGGAGAGGGGGGGGGGGGGGGGGGGGGAGGTCAGGGGTACATAAGTATGAGGACATATGTTGAATAAGAATGAGGACTAGCAGCAGGTTTAAGGAAAAAAGGGGTTTTGGGTGGGGCTGTTGGGTTGTTTATTAATATATTCCCTTGCAGTTTTATTTTCAGTTTCTGTACAACGCCATTTACTTACCTGCACTGTATACTGCTTGTGAGCAAAGAGTGTTTATATGTCAATATAATAATTAGAAGGGGGCGTAGCCTTACAGTGTCCCCATGTTTTGTTGGGCTACACCACCGTTTTAGAATGACAGGTAGTTCACTATCCTGCTGTGCACAACACATGGACTGAATTTAATCACTTCCTCCTCTCTCGTTCTCTCCTACCTCTCTCCGTCTCTCTCTCTCTCTCTCTCTGTTTACATATGGTTTTCTCTCTGTTTTTCTGCCATTTCCTCCACTTCTTGTTCCATCCTGTACATATGCAAAACTTTTTTCCTGGTCTCTTATTTTATTGTTCTTTCCTGGTCTCTCTTTACTTTGTGATCTTATATTTTTTGCCATGTTCACGTCCCTCATACCTTCACTCTCCCTTACTCTCTGTCTGTTCACCTGTCTCTCCCTCACCCTCATCCCCTCACCCTTTCTCTCACCCTCTCCCCGTCTTTTACCCTCACTCTCCCTTTAATACTCTCTGTCTGTTCACGTGTCTTTTCCTCACCCTTTCTCCCATCCTTCTCTTCTCCCCACCCTCCTCTCTCCTTCACACTCTCCTCCTCTCTCCTTCCCACTCTCCTCTCTCCTTCACACTCTCCCTCTCCCTTACTCTCCTCCATACCTCTTTCTTCCCCTCACCCTCCCTGAATATCCATTCACCTGTCTCTCCCTCACCCTTCTCCCACCCTCCTCTTCTCCCCACCCTGCTCTCTTCTCCCCACCCTCCTGTCTCCTTCACACTCTCCTCCTGTCTCCTTCACACTCTCCCTTTCCCTTACTCTCCTCCATCCCTCTTTCTTCCCCTCACCAGGGTGATTTAGCAGCCAGAAGCAGTCCCTCGGGCTACAGGACGCTGCCCTCCCCTCGTAGGAACCAAGAGTTTGATCTTCCCAACAAGCAGCAACAATCGGCTCACGGCGGCACCCCAGAGCCTAGGAAACCCAGAGCATCGTTCGGAAAGGGACTCTTCAAAATCACCTCCAAAAAGACTTCCAGTGCTCCAAATCTCGGTAAGTTCATGGTAATTTCCTGATTTCTGCTTTATGATCTTCCTGCTATATCTCTAAACATTCATCAATGGAAACTCAGCAATTATCAGTGGGAAACAGTCCATACTGTCTTCAGGTTTTTGAATTGAAATTATGTGGAGAGTAGCTACAGTTCATTTCTTGCTCATATTGGTGTGTGTTTTCACTTCTCTCTTCTGCACTATTTATTATTTCTGTCTACAATGTATTTATAGGATTCAACGATTGAATGTCTTTTGATCAATATTTGTATGACTATCACTCCTTACTGTACTGAAAACGGGAATAAATAAGTAATATATCATATGTTCAGAGCCAGAAGGGTATTATCTTATAGGGATCGGGTAATTGTCTCAGATTCTGAAACAAAATCCTGGATTTAGCTCATGCTGCAATGATAATTATAAACATTGAGCTCAGTCAGGAATCCATGACTTTATCAAGATATTTATGATTGGAATTACAAATTTTGAAAAAAGTTTTGCCAAACGGTTTTCATAACACTACAGTCTATTGGGGAAAACGAGTATGGTAAAACCGGTCACTCAAAGATTTTTACTTTTTTGAGGCACTTCTTGATAATTTTGAAGCGCAATTATTTTTAGGGCTTCAATATTACACCATATCACAGACACTAATAGCACGTACATTAGGGCCGTGTATCTCAGATGCCCTTTAACCCATGTTAACCAGAGTTAATGCCCTTCTGGCTCCAACCAGATAATATTTATAGTAAGATATGACATAATTTTTATATACATTATCATTCCATTCTTTACATTTTGCTCATTCCTAAACCTCACAGTTTACATCCTGTATGTCAATACATATGTACATGTGTCATCATTTTCCAATAGGTACCAGACACTTTCTTTCAAATCATAATACAGCGACTCAACATTGACTCAATGCCTCCTCTACAAATTAAAAGTATTCCACCAATTTCCAACAAATAAAGAGAAAAATAACAGTAAATAGTAAGTTTAAAGCCCTAAAACGTGTTTAAAAGCCCCAAATTTGCTTGAATGATTGTATTCTTTCATCAATATTCGACTTTAAACACATTTGTATTGAAAATCCTTTCAGAAATGTGTCTTAAATAATATCCACTTTCATATAATGATACAATTTTTGTGAAATTTTGCCATCAAATTATTGGGGCTCCCAACACTTAAAGGTAATGCAAAGTTTTGGGAAATTTTGACAAATAAATGAATAGTAATTCTTTAAAATTTGGATATACGTGGATGACCCTGTGCAATTTCATCACTTTGGACTCGATTTTAACCGAGACAACGTTCATCGAATATTGTAAAATCCCATATATGCTTCCAATATGTTCATTTGAACTAAATACAAAACCACATACCAAAAATTGTATTACCTTTAAGAGGGGCTTTAACCCCCCCCCCCACCCCTCTCCTCCAGTAAACCGAGCTGGTTTACTCAGACATATGTGAAAGAAAGTTGATGTGTTGTGAGAACCATAGTCAAATAATATCCAGATGTGATAGCTGCTCAGTGTATGATGTAATTAAGTTTGCTTCATATCTTGCTCTGTTTCTATTGATTTCTGATTGTGTAATCATGCATTCACCAATACCTGTATCATGGAGTTTACTATTTGAATACATGTACTTTAAATTCATGGAGCTTTTTAGTCAGTATTTGCATACATGTACTTTAAAATCATGTAGAACTTTTAGTCAGTATTTGAATACATGTACATGTACTTCATAGTCATGTAGAGCAATAGTCAGTATTTGAATACATGTACCTAATAGTCATGTATAGTTTTAGTCAGTATTTGAATACATGTACATGTACATGTACTTCATAGTCATGTAGAGTTATACATGTAGTCAGTATTTGAATACATGTACTTCATAGTCATATAGAGTTTTAGTCATCAACATCATCATTCACATCATGTTCCAGGTTTGTTACAGTCATAGGTGGTAATTTGCCTCCATTTCTATCTACTGGTATTCATTGTCTGCTGTTCTTAAAAAGCCGGTTTTGGTGATCTTACTTTTGATAAGACACTATTAGAAAGCCCTCAAATTGTTTTCATCAATTTCCTTTGATTTGAGATATAAGTAGGAAGATAGTACCATTACTAAGTTGCTGTGAAGGTTTGTTTTGTCCTCAAGGTGAATGTTACACAATTGAGAAATAAAAGATAATTTATATGCCTGACCTTGTACATTAATTCAACAATGTCAATGTGCACAACTCACCTACATGTATTAGGAGTGTTTGTCCCCCAAACACAATTGAAATTTGGTCCTAGGTTGATTAGGTCCAAGGTTAGTGTGTTAGGCATAGTGTTTGGTTCAGGGTAAATTAGGTTATTGACCATGGACTCGTACTTAAAGGGATAGTTGAGTTCTTGTTTCAGATAACAAATGCCTTCAAAGTGCATGGTTATTACTCTTATTCTTTTTATGACATTTCTAATGCTCTTTAAGGACCTAAAGTTGCTATGAAGGTAATTTTAGACCCCAAAATGTGTGAAACTTAGCCAATATACGATCATACCAATTCAGCTCAACTTTCGAAAGAATACGGTGACTGATAATTGATTAATCAATTGATAACAATACACGGGCTGGCTGGTTGTGCGTATTAAAACCAACACGAAAAAGCCAACAAAAAAGCCGACATCGCCATTGGCAATATTAGAAATGGTTATATTTATGGATATTTCAGCCCTCTCTGAACCGATTTTGATAAAACAAAGATGATTTTGTCATTTAAATTGTATGTTCTTTCAAATTTAACACTCAATTTTTCATCATCTCAAAATGGCAGATACAAGGAATTTTTTGGCAATTGAAGATTTTGATTTGATTTGGTTTGGTTTGGTTTACCGGTAGTTGTTTTGATATGAAACCCTATACGAATAAACAAGTGCATACATTTATAGAAATAATTTCGGACCTGAGGTTTACATGTGTTAGTTTTGGAGAATCCCTCTAAAAAAGTTGACCGAAATGGAAGTATAAAAAAGATAATCAAGAAACTGTTTTGAGAACGAGAATGGAGGTGTTGAGTCTTGAAATGCGAAGGTTATTGGTTTGATCCTGACACAGCACTTATGTCCTTTGGTAAGGCATAAATCTACATCTGCCACTCCATACCCAGAAGATAATACCCAGGAGATATAATAATTGCCATATGCCCTCACGATGATCATATGGTAGAAGATGGTGCACATTGTGCGTCAATGAACCTGCTGACTGGTTTATAATATCTGTCAAGTATTGGCACCAGTATTTTGTATCAAGCGCTAGATATAAAACTATTAGATAGTGATATCTATCATGATATCATGATTATTTATCAGCAAATAACAAAAACCTAATCCTTTCATCTCATACACTGTAGGCGATACAATGACATGAAATGTGTTTTGATTCGCTTGATTAATTTCGGTAATGCAAAATAGTTTCCTTTCAATCAATTCAATCTGACGTGAATTTATCGACTTGATGCGGAATTAAAAACAAATTTCACAGATCATTTCAGATTAAGTGACTCAATTCTCTCTTTGGAATCAAAAAGTCAATGTTTACCCAGTGTGCTTCGTCACACATTCTCAATGCTATTCATCACCCTTGATAATGTAGTCCAAAGTGCAATTACTTGGTAACATGTGTGTGCCTACCTGAGACTATTCCTTGGCCGGTTTATGAATGGGTTTTTTAAAAGAGGTCTTTACTTTGAAACCGGAATCAAATAAACAAGTCAATATATGTGAAGGCATTTTGCTATATAATGAGTTATACGATAAACACAAATAGTTATTCCAGATATATATTGAGTGGTGTAGAACTACACTGTGGTGTTTTTGCATGTGTTAAGTCTTGCTTTGAAAGGATAAATTTGGATTTGACATTAAGTTGCTGTGGTCCAACTCACTTTTTTCTTTCTTCTGATCTGTTCATTACTTTGAGCTGGAATTATGCTTTATATAAGGAACAATCAAGGTAGGAAGTCTATGACTTTGTACATGTATCAGGGAAAAAAATTTGGGGGGCTACTTTTCAAGCTTGCTTGCAAAAAAATAACACTCTTTAATTTGTTTTGCAGTGAACTCTATGCACATTTTTGGGGGCTCTTTTATGACTTTCAGGGGCTCTTTTTTTAAAAGCATTTTGGGGGCTAATTTGCCCTGAGCCCCATGTATTTTTTTCACTGACATGTATAGACCCTAGCTCTCAATTCATGTATTTTCAATGATACATGTACATAAACATACAGAGAACTGCATCTGTGAGATTCTTATAAAATTGTATGATAAATATGAAATATTGAAAAATTGAATGTAAATTCTCAAAAGTGTTATTTCCCTAGAAAACGTTTTCTACTTCTCCAGTGTACATTGTTTCTTGTATTATTCATAAGGCTTCCAATCAGTGTATTTAATATCTTTAGCACAGTACCCGGATGACTGATCAATATATTGTTTTCGTATTGCTCAGTCGTCCGGGAACTTTCAACTATCGATATCACACGAAAACAAAATCATATTTACAGAGGTAAGTCAAATTTGTTATTTCGCTAGTCAGCTTGATAATAATAACAATATTGTATGGTTTTGTTTTCATGTGAAACAAGAATATATTGCTCTCACTCTGACATTATTGGACTCGACTCATCCCATATTGCCATAGCTAGAGCAATGTATTCTTGTACGTGTAACACACTCAAAGCCATACAGTATCATATCAATATTTCTAAGAATTCATGGGTATATACTGAGAATTCATGGGTATATACTGAGAATTCATGGGTATATACTGAGAATTCATGGGTATATACTGAGAATTCATGGGTATATAATGAGAATTCATGGGTATATACTGAGAATTCATGGGTATATACTGAGAATTCATGGGTATATACTGAGAATTCATGGGTATATACTGAGAATTCATGGGTATATACTGAGAATTCATGGGTATATACTGAGAATTCATGGGTATATACTGAGAATTCATGGGTATATACTGAGAATTCATGGGTATATACTGAGAATATCACACTAAGTTTATGCCTTATGTGAATGACCTTACATTTGCTTGAAGGGTGAACCTCTTACATATTGCTATTTCATATTTTAATAACTTCAGATTATGACTCACTCTCATACATGGAGTATTTTGAGAGTGTTGATTCGTGAAATAATCCCAAAGATTACTACACTATTATTCATTGTGCATCATCATGTGGTATGCCTTCTCTTCTAATCTCACCTAACTTGATACCCTCACCTAACACATTGCAATGAAAGATAGGACACTTTTTAGCTGACTCATATGAGCAGTGCATTCAAATTAGCAATCTATAGCTACCCTGTATAGTAGAGGTGTCGTATTCAGGCGGTTTTAATAAACACTTGACTGAAGATGCTAATGCCATTGGATTGATCCCTGGCATAGCACCTATGTCCTTAAGCAAGGCATTTTATCTACCTTGCTATTTTCCACTTGGGTGTTAAAGGGATCGTTTCACAATGTTAAATCTGAGATGCACGGCCCTACGTGTTATCAGTGTCTGTGATATGGTGTAATATTGAAGCCCTAAACAAAAATTGCGCTTCAAAATGATTAAGAAGTGCCTCAGAAAAGTAAAAATCTGTGAGTGACTGGTTTTACCATACTCATTTCCCCCCATATAGACTGTAGTGTTATGAAAACGTTAGGCAAACGCAAAATTTGGTTTCGATTTCCAATCATAAATATCTTGATAATCAGACAGGCGATCGGCTTGTAAAAGTCATGGGGTTCCTGACTGACCTTAAGGTTTATAATTATCATTGCAGCATGAGCTAAATCCAGGATTTTGTTTCAGAATCTGAGACAAAGTTACCGGATCCCTTTAAATATGTATCTGGTAGGATGCAAAACTCATTGTACGAAGCAGTTTGCTCAGTATTGTGAGCATCTTTCAAATGGCACCACGATGGAATACTCCCCAGGAAGTGGAGAATGAGCTTAAGTTGTGTGTGGGCAAGCCTGCATCTGACGACTGGGATAATCTGTAAAGCTCTTAGAGACATGGTAGATGTATTAAGTGCTATATCAACCCAGAATATTAGTAGTAGTAGTAGTGTAAAGCCTGAAACGTAACCTGTGAATTTAGAGAGTGATTCATATTCAGGACAGTTTCATGCTGCAATTATAAATTGAATCATAATTGACCGAAACGGTGGAGTTTCTTACTCTGGATATGAGTGCCCTTTAAAGGCCCTCTAAAATGTTGGGAGCCCCACAAATTTGATGACAACATTTCACTTAAATTGGACCACAATGTGCAAGAGGATGTCATTTAAGACACATTTCTGCAAGGATTTTCAAAACAAATGTATTTGAAGACAATATTGATGAAAGAATACAAAATTCAGGTTTTCTGTGTACAACAGAAAACCCAAATTATGTATTCTTCTTTCAATATTTGTCTTCAAACACATTTTTTGGAGGAAATCTTTGCAGTAGTGTGTCTGAAATGACATCCTCTTTCACATTAGGGTACAATTTAAGTCAAATTTTGCCTTCAAAATTTCCAACACTTTAGAGGGGCATCAATCATTCAAGAAAGTTTGGTGTCATGAAAGTGACAATTTTGACTGTATTGCTATGATACGTTACAGGCTGCATCCTGATAGCTATAGTGGTTTCCTCCTCTATTACATCAACACACTTTATTTGCTTTACATTGCAAACCAGATTACTTCTCTCTATATGAAGTGCCAACTGAATAATATTTTTTCATTAAATTACTTGGGGTATCTAAGTCACTCTTATTAGATTACAGACATTTCCAAATATTTCATATGCTAGAAATAATTGTGTTACTTGTTGAAGAGATGAGTGATACATGACATCATCTGAGAAGCAGCAAAACCAATAGACCAGTTCACGGTCAGCACATTACTGCAATGACCCCGAATATCCACAGATCTTCAAAACAGGAAGAGGTCCCACTTTGTACATTTTGAAATAATCACTCCTACTTCAATGGAGGTGCTATATAAATAGCCTTTGTTTCCCCTTTTCAAAGAATACTTCCACCTGTGTATCATAGAGTGCATTGCTTGTGCATGAATGAATAATGATTACATAACTTTCATGAGCATGTATCCAGTATTTTCGTCTCTGTGTATTTCAAAATTTGTTCTGAATGACCTTCATCTGCTCATGCTCAGACTGTAACCGTGAACTGGCTTATTTGATTGGCCTATTCCGGTCTCTCCTAACTGGAGCTGATGGTGTGACCAGCCATCAACAATTATTGAATGATACAGGACTGGCTAAAGCTCATAAGTGCACGATTTAATTATAAATAAAAAAACAGAAATATAAAAACGAAAGGGAACATGTCGAGAGTAAATACTCAGCATTTGTCTTTGACTTACATTTTTAATTTGTTATCCTCTTCCACTCCTTCACTGGTAAATCTTGCCCGAGAAGTTGAGTGTTAAACATATTTTGTTGACTAATTAATATATATATATCATTATTCAAGAAGTAGATTTTTGTTTACATGTACCTCTTTTTATTTACTGGTTCGTCCATTGATGATATGAAACATATTATTTGTGGGTTGAAGCCCTCTAAAACCATCACAGTACAAAGTACATGTATGTAAGTTCCTGGGGAATTTAGTCTCAATTTTTCATTAGTTGTCACAGCAGGCTTTCGTGATTCTCCATCTATTCTTCGATGTGCGGTGAAGCCATTAGAGCAATATTGCCTAGTCGAGTGTGCATTGACAATAGAATAAGAATGGGCTTGATGTAGTGACTATTGGATGGGATGTGTTCCATGAAGTAATTCCACATCATGCTCAGAGATTATTAGGGATGTATGACAACTCTTTCTAATCATAAAAATACACAGGTTGACACCAACTCTTTCTAATGATAAAATACATGTATAAAAGAACAACATTCTCTTTTTTTCTCCCTCTCTTTCCTTTTCTCTCTCTCTCTCTCTCCCTCTCTCTCCCTCTCTCTCCTCCTCTTCCTTTCTCTCTCTCTCCCTCGCTCTCCCCCCCTCTCCCCCCTCTCTCTCTCTCTCCCCCTCTCTCCCCCTCTCTCCCCCCTCTCTCTCTCCCTCTCTCTCCCCCTCCCCCTCTCTCCCCCTCTCTCTCCCCCTCTCTCTCCCCCTCTCTCTCCCCCTCTCTCTCTCCCCCCCTCTCTCTATATATATCTCTCTCTCCCCTCTCTCCCTCTCTCTCTCCCCCTCTCTCCCTCTCTCTCTCTCTCTCTCTCTCTCTTCCCTCTCTCTCTCTCTCTCTCTCTCTCCCTCTCTCTCTCTCTCCCTCTCTCTCTCTCTCTTCCTCAGCCATGACAGAGTCAGAAGGGGAGGATGCATTAGGGGTACAGAGACCAAGAAATGTTACCTTCCAGAGTCTGGAGAGGGGTGGTTTTCCCGCCCCTCCAGGGACACCGCCCATGGAATACCGCAAACGTAAAGGCATCAAGAAACTCATTGGAAAGTAAGTTCAACAGTAGGCCTATTCACACAACTCTACATTTTGTAAGTTCAACAAGAGAAAAAAAATCGTATCTAGCATGAACATTTTGGGTGGAAAGGAAGGAACCCCATGTTAAAACCCCAATATATTAAAAACCAAGTGAAATCGCAGAAATTTATAATAATGGTATGATAATTGGTGATGAATTTTTAAATTTGATCAGTTGCTCAACCAAATTCAGTCACCGATGACTGAGCATCTGTCATTTCTTATAACCATGGCAACTCATCTTTGTAATTCTGGGGTGCATGGTGTCACTCTCATTATGTATGCCTTTTGCAGCCAACATCAAATTCTGTAGAACTTTGCAGAAATTATGAATATGTCACATATGTCCTATCTGTGAAATTTAAACGTTAGCAGAGTTCTAGTATTCAAATTATGCAAGGAAACCCGTTTACTTGCTAGACTTCACTGTCAGACACTATTGAGTGACTGACTTCTTTTATGCTTTGGTAATAACAAACATAGAATGAGCTTTAAATGGTACATGAGCATTTGTCTACATCAATAGCCCACTTCTTGTTGAATTGAACTGATTGAATCTTTGCGCAGCACGAAACGTACAACCATTCGGTGCATTTCATTAATCGAGAGTGCTCGCTAAATTTGATTTGACAACTGATGGTCGTTATTTTCCCACAAAAAGCCATTTTCAAGCCCTTTTGTTTCGAGGGATGTTCTAAAATAGTATTATCTTTCAAATGTCGTTGGAATTCTTCCTTTTCATTTTTTGGGCCTACAAATGGGACATAGTACCGTACCTTTAAAGAGGAATAAAGACCATTTAACCAAATGTTGAGTTAATCTAGATCTGCAAACCTGCACAATGATGTTGATGGTGATGATGATAATGGTGATGATGGTGATAATGATGATGATGAAGATGAAGATGATCTTGATGACTATGATGATAATGATGATGATGATGACAAAGATTATTGTACTGATGATGATGATGGCTATGATGATGATGATGATGATAAAGACGATGATAATGATGACGATAATGACGATGATGATGATCTTGATGACTAGGATCGTAGTGATGATGGTGATGATGATGATGGCTATGATTATGGTGATGATGATGAAGACGATGATAATGATGATGACGATGATGATGATGACGATGGTGATAATGTTCATGATGATGATGACTATGATGATGATAGTGATGATGATGGTGATGACGATGATCTTGATGACTAAGATAGTAGTGATGATGATGGCCAAGTTTATTTTTTTTCTTCACATAGTTGATCTGGAAACTCTTTTTTAATGAGCTTGTTGATTTTGAAGGTGACGATTGTGACCATGATGATGACAAAGAAAATTACGATGGTTATGATGATTGTCGCATTATTTTTCTTTCAGATTAAAGCGTAGTGGATCAGTAAATCTTCACAATGGCGATGAGGATGAGGAAGCCCCGGTGGAGTTCTCCAGAAATGGTCGTTTCAGAGCCACAGCAGGACCAAGACTAGCCTGGTCTAGGGACCTCAAGAAGAATGAAAATGGGAATGGAACCAGGTACGTAGCATGTTTTCAAAGATCTGTGAATGTTCTCTTAGTGATCATAGGATTGTGATAAGAGGATTATTCAATTAAATGTATTTATTTGTCCAATGTCATTCAACATGGATATTTGTTTCACTCACATGTAAAATAAAGGCTCAGACAAAGTTGACAAAGAACAGAAATATGATACGAAACATGGATACATTTTGGTGATGACAAAATAATTTCTCAAATATAATAATGATTTTCGTTTGGCTATGGCTTCTTTGGTTTCCTTAAAGGTAAAGACCAGTATTGGAAACGCCTCAATTTCAAGAAATGAAATGGAAGCTCTCGTTACCAATCATGTGAAAGAATATGTTTTGACTAATACATGATGACAAAAAATTTGCCGGGAAACCGCCTACTAATTCATATATTTGGTAAATTTGTTTCTCTCATGGTCTGTGAGAGATATAGGGTAGTCCCATATACATCTTTCTGTATATAGTGCTTGTAACTTTACAAAGAAAGGGCCAAATTTCTTATCATTTTGATGATTCCAGAACCTTGCAGATGCTAGATGCTAGATGATCAACCTTTTCTGATCGATTCCACAACGTTTCTTTCACAATGCAATCGCATGACCATAACTGGTCTTTACCTTTAAGTTACGTAATTTGAATGTCTTCATGTATATTCATAAAGACAAATCATCTACCACTATACACATAGACTCCCCAATCCTCCCCCTCTCACATGGTACAACCGTAAACCTACTGTATATCTACACCACCATGCAAGCTGATACTAATAAGGTGCATCTGTACACTATGTTATTATCATACTGAAACACAATGTATCTGAAATTCTGGATATAAATTAAATGAATAATAAATATAATGAATGAATAAGGTTATTCTATCATTGTCAATCTTTGTAAGTCATTTTGCTGGATTTTAAGCTTCAGATTTATAGAAGTTTCTGAGATTTATATTTGTATTTTTGATGTTATGTTGTTATTATGTTATATACGTGTAATATGTATAACTTTGTACATTTTTTGTAACACACCTGTACCAGTGAACAACAAATTTCCATTTGTTATGGACAGTAAATCAATTCAATTCAATTCAATTTGGTTGAAGCCTATTTGATTGAGGATCTAATGCATGCTCTGGCTCCAGGCTTCATCTAAAATCTGTTGTGTTCTTTTTTCAGTGAGCTGAACGCTCCATTTGCCAAGTGGGACAGTGAGCAGGTAGCTGATTGGTTGAGAGGGATGGGTCTCGCTCAGTACGCTGCAGCTTGTAGAGTCTGGGTTAAGAATGGTGGAACGCTGCTTGGAGCTGCTCCTCTGGAGCTTGAAAAGGTGAGAAATCTGCTTTGAATTCTTCTTTAAATTCTTCTTGGAGGCCAAAATTGAAATTAATACAAATTTAAGGAAATGGTGCTGACAAAGACACAAATTATAGGCAATGATTACCGAACGACAGAAATGGGAAAATTGAAATTATTTCATCTTTTTAAAGATACATGCAGAAAAAGAGTCAAAACAATTGACATTAATTTCTCTAAAGACAGAAATGTAAAAATCCAAATTATCCCTATTTTTAGGAAACGGTGCAGGTAAAGATACAAATTATTGACACATTGGCTAAACTACCCTAGGTTTCTTGTACACTGTATATAATGTAATTGCTACTGTACCAATCACAAACACAATGATTTGTGTACAGCTTAAATAAGCTTAAGCTTAAAATAAGTTTAAATAACCTAAAGAAAAGTTAACCTGGCATTTTATAGGTAAACGGTTCGGAATAAGAAGGGAATAAAGGCTAACCTGATGCCCTGAGTATGGAACCTAAGTCTGGCTTCGGTTCGGTGCGGGCCCTATTCCATGGGTGCGTGTATAGTATTCTACACAAACAGGTCACCTTTATGTTCATTGAGAGTGCATCTAACTTGCATTATAGAGGAGTAATATATGAAGCTCACATATGAAGTATAGTTTAGCCACATGGACACTCTATAGTTCAAAACTAATTAATTCTTTAATTACACTTACAAATAAATGAAAAACTTAGTAGTGAAATCGTAGCCTGCATTGTCCATTACACTCGAGTCAATTCAAATTAGGTTTTATTAAATCTCGTCAAAAAGTCCAAATACTTAAATGCGATTTTACATTATACATACAATTGTATAAAAAAGCATTCAAAAACACAAAGATGGAAGGCATCAGATTAGATTTTTTAAACACTACATGTACATGTATCTATCTATATAGACCTTGGAAACCGTAGCATGCATTGTCCATTACATCTATCTATTCATATAGACCTTGTTGTGTCCCACTAGAATCATTTCTGGGCAAGAGCCACAATCTTGATCAACCCACCTGTGCTTCTTTGGCTATGTCCCAGTATGATAATATTATTGCCAGTTTTAGGATGAGTCACAGAGTGTAGTTGGTAAAAACAATATATTGAGGTATTTCACTATGCACGTTACTGTACTGATCAGGGGGGTGTTTCACAATAATAATAATAGCTAGTTCTTATATAGCGCTTTTCAGGACCGAAGGCCCTCTCAAAGCGCTTGAAGGATAAATATATTATTACCCCAGTCATCGGATTCAGGCTTACCTGCACACAATGTATGCACGTTCTCCACTCCCTGGGGAGCATTCTAGCCAGGCGTCATTTTTACAAGCGCACACTTGCTAATCTAAGCACATTAGCTTTTGCATCCTACCGGGTACCCATTAAGAACCTGGGTTGAGAGTGGCAAATGTAGATCAATGTAGGACTTGAACCCCGGACCTTGTGATCCATCACACCTCTACAAAGACTCTCATTTGAACTTATCTCTAAGTTGGACTAAACAATTATGGAAAGCCGTTAGCATCTATGAAAATATTTTGTGAAAAATTATTTAAAAGGCATAAAATATTTATTCAAATGATTTATATTTTCTATTATCATGAAAATTTCATGTTCTTGATGTGGAATTTTTAAAAAAAGTCTACAATGCTTGAATTTTCGATTTTGAATATAGTTTATTTTAAGGCTACAAATGGATCTCCATAATTTTTAAGTCCAATTTAGAGTCAAGTTCGACTTAGGATCTTTGTGAACCACCCCCCCCCCCCCAGATCTGTATCATTTAAAATGAAAGGATGAAGAAGAGTCTGTGCCTGCAGATTATTCTTATCCCCTAACCTTTGACATTCAGCCCTCAGTGTGAGGACCTAAAAATAGTTTCAATTTACAGTATGTATCTTCAGACTATTTTTTGATATCTAATTTAATACCTGCCACCTTCATTACTTAGGTCTGAGGTACCCATTGTATCAAAAGAATCAATATCTTGTTTTGTGTCAAATAAAGTTTAAATTATGGTCTGTGACTATTTTAACCACCAATCCTCATTATTCTACCCTCAATACTTCAGTCTGAGGTTGGTTTAAACTTAGAGTCTATGCCTTCAGACTATTTTTAACCTTTAACCTGTGACCTTTCACCCTCATTACTTCAGTTTTAGGAAACCATTGCATCTGAAGAAACAAGATTTTGCTTATCGTTATTTTAGATTCTGCCTGTAGATCATTTTTAACCTTTAACCTTGGACCTTCTACCTCCAGTACTTGGGTCTGAGGTTGGTTTAAACTTAGAGACTTTGCCTTCAGACTATTTATTAACCTTTAACCTTTGACCTTCCATCCTCATTACTTAAGTCTGAGGTTGGTTTAAACTTAGAGTCTGTGCCTTCAGACTATTTATTAACCTTTAACCTTTGACCTTCTACCTCCAGTACTTGGGTCTGAAGAATCCGTTACACCGGAAGAAGCTGCAGCTTGCCCTGCAGGCGATGGGATCAGAGTGTGAGGACAAGCAGGGCGACCTGGACTACCACTGGGTCACCAGGTGGCTGGATGATGTGGGACTACCTCAGTATAAAGATACCTTTCTGGAAGCTAAGGTCGATGGCAGAATGCTGCACTATATGACAGTGGTAAGAGCAGGGAAAAAATACACGGGGCCTCGGGGCAAAGTAGCCCCTGAAATGCCTAAAAGAGCCCCCAAAAGTCTTAATAGAGCCCCAAAATTGTGCATAGAGTTCTATGCAAAACAAATTAAAGAGTGTTATTTTCATGCAAGCAAGCTTGAAAAGTAATTTTTTCCTGGGTAAGAGAGGGGGATGATCGTCATGGCGTTGGTGATGTTGTTTATATTGGTCGTTGTGATGCTTGTGTCGGTGGATAAGTTGATATGGTGGTAGTGATAGCTTGATGATGAAGGTCAACCTCTGTTTAGATATGTATTTCTGGAAACTAAGGTTGATGACAGAATGCTGCACTATATGACAGTTGTAAGAGAGAGAGATTGTGATTGTTACTGTCATGGTGATGTTGATATTGTTTATATTGGTTGTTGTGTGCTTGTGGCAGTGGATAAGTTGATAATGGTAGTAGTGACGGCCTGATGATGAAGGTCAACCTCTGCTTAGGGATGTCTTTCTTGAAGCCAAGGTTGATGACAGAATGCTCAACTATATGACAGTGGTAAGAGAGAAATGGTGATAGTAATGGTGATGGTGATGTTGATGATGATTTTGATGGTGAGGCTGCTGATTGTTATGACTATGACGATCATCATCATTATGTTTGTTGTAGCGACAGCGAAAAATTGCTATAACAATTTCACAGTCTACGTCTATGCTTGTACTCGTCGAAAGTCTTTTCAGCAACTAAACCAGGATATTGTGGTGTGGTGTCTCTCATAGTGGTCACAATTGATTAGTGCAGAGTGCGTATATTTCAGGACAAATAACAACCGGTGAAACAAATTTGCTTTTGAATGTTTTCAGGACGATCTGTTGCTGTTGAAAGTAACGAGTGCCTTCCATCACGTGAGCATCATGCGTGGTATTCAGTGCCTACGTCTTCATAACTTCCATCCGAGCTGTCTTAGGAGAAGACCCACAGATGAGGTAAGAATGGTTTCTATGGCAACAACAACATAATGATGATAATGATGCTGATGTTGTTATGATGTTGCCACAACTACTACCACTAGGAATGATGATGATAATGAGAATGATGATAATGTTAATAATAATGATAATAATTACATTGATATTATAATAATACTGCTATTACTTCTACTACTGCTACTACTAATGTGATAGCAACTTCTTCTACCACTACTTCTCCCACTACTACTACTACTACTTCTACTACTACTGATGCTACTACTACTACTACTACTACTACTAGTACTACTACTACTACTACTACTTCTTCTACTACTACTGATGCTACTACTACTACTACTACTACTACTGCTGCTACTGCTAATGATATTAGATAATAATATTCTTTTTCTGAATAGCGCATCACATTATCAAATAATGTCCCTAAGTGCTTCCCAAGAGTTTTGAAAATGCTGACCTTTATTAACCTTTTTAATACCCAGCATATCATCATGTTTCCTGTGCTTATACTCTCCTCCCTCAGCCCATTCCCTCATATATATTTCAGTAAAAACTTTCAATTCTCTGTCTTAAAAGTGCAATCAGTATATCTATCAACTTTGTTCAATTCTCTTAAAAATATATGGAAAGTACATATTCGATGTGTAGGTCTGATCTCTTTTTGTTTGACCTGACTCTGGATCATAGGTCATGTGTAATGAAGGAAAACTTTGACCTTGGACTAACTTTCTTTATTAGAACTGATTTTGAATGTAAGCTTAAGACCAGCATGGGGTTTAAATCGTAGTAGCATACAGGTCATTTTGCAAGGCATTCATAAAAAATGAGGCTCTTGAATACCGGTACTGCATGTATTTGATTTTGGTATAACACTTGTTTCCCATAAAACTCTAAATGGAGTTATGTTGGGCATGGTAGTAAATGGATGAAGAATGGATATTACTGCTATGTTGGGCATGGTAGTCAATGGGTGATGAATGGAGATAGGACTGCTATGTTGGGCATGGTAGTCAATGGGTGATGAATGGAGATATGACTGCTATGTTGGGCATGGTACTCAATGGATGAAGAATGGAGATAGTACTTCTATGTTGGGCATGGTAGTCAATGGGTGTAGAATGGAGATATGACTGCTATGTTGGGCATGGTACTCAATGGGTGAAGAATGGACTGCTATGTTGGGCATGGTAGTCAATGGGTGTAGAATGAAGATAGGACTGCTATGTTGGGCATGGTAGTGAATGGGTGACGAATGGAGATTGGACTGTAAAAAAACAGAAACTTTCACATTCATGAAACTTTCACAGACTTCAAAGTGGCCATGACTTGATAATGTGTTGTGCCACGCATCATTAGTATTATACAAATGTCTTCTGTGGAACTTTGTGTCAGAAAATGGGCACCTTCATTTCACAAAGCTGACATGTGAGCTTCACATTATTTTGATTGATGAAGACCCAATATCATGAATTGTACCCCTTTGATGAGCAAGTGTGCAAATGCTTATGTTTTATGGAGAAAAAAAAAAGTTAATACAACAAGAAGTGATCATTGAATTCTGAATTGCTTTCCGAACATGTATGCATGTAACAATGGAAATGATAATACTTGTATATTTCAGAAGATCTCATATCATCTGGGGGTGTTTCATAAAGCTGTTCGTAAAGTTACGCATGACTTTAGGAATGACTTAAATATGAAAAGCCAAATGGGATGCTCAATCATTTTGAACTGCGTCAACTAAAGTTGAACTGTGCAGATGTAGATTAACATTCTTATTATAACAAAAAAAATTAATGCAAAGTATATTTTTTGCCATAATTTAATTGAGGTTATTGGAAATATAATCACACTTTGTTAAAACGTCAAGAAAAACTTTGGGCATCCTATCTGGCACTTCATATTCAAGTCGTTCGTAACTTTACGAACAGCTTTATGAAACGTCCCCCTGATAAGAGTCAGACGAGTATTGACTCATATACTTTTACACAGAGTCAATGGCCTTCTGGATCTAAAAAATGTCTTCAGTCCCATATATTGCATTTGATGTCATTAATGAATTCCAACCTCTATGTTTATGCTCTTACCCCTTCGCAGCCGTGGTATAAAAACCTTAAAAACATGCCTCCTTGGAGTAACGAGATGGTACAATGCATGATCTTTGTTCTATGGCCTTTACTGCCTTATACAGCCAAAGCAATACAAGTGACAACTGACATTCGTTGAACAACATTTGCGTATTCTCAGCTGTTCTCATCCAAATTGTGTGATGTTGAATAAAAGTTTGGTGTTAGAAACATTGCGCAAATGACTAGTGCTTCTTTGTGAAGTCGGCATGGTGCAGGTTTCTGTCGTTTTCCAGGTACTTATTGTTTCAATCTAATTTGGACATTTTAATATAAATGATGATATGGATTTAAGAATCGAAAAATGATTCAAAAATCTGAATTTCAGTAAACTTGGAAACAATCTTCCCTGACCGCATTCGCATAGAGTTTATAATGCATTTATGTGATTGTGAGGGCTGATCCAAGTTTGTTCTGGGACAGCTCACATGTGATCAGTTGTCACTTGTATTTCACTTTGGACAAAGAGGGCAGTATGCATAAAAGTGTCCACCACAGCTGTGCTTCATAACCCTACCTTTACGATATATATATATTATTAGCACCACATGCATAATTTGCTGTAGGGCGATTCCATGTAATGTGTCCCATATAAGCCACTTCAGGGATAGCACTTGTACGAATGAACCGCAAATATCCACCGATCTTTCATACATGGAGACATCCCACTTCCTGCATTTTCGAAAAAAATCACTTCCAAAGAAAGTAATGGAGGTGCTTCATGAATACCTTTTGATTGACCTCTTTAAAAGAATACTTCCACCTGTGTATCAGTATGTATTACTGGTGCACTGTGTATCAGTATGTATTACTGGTGCACTGTGTATCAGTATGTACCACTGGTGCATAAATTAATAATGATCATATGACTTTCATAAACAGTCATCCAGCAATCGTCTCGATGGGTTTTTAAAGTTATGTTCAAATGACCTTTATATGCCCATGTGCAGATAATATCTATGGAGTGGCTTATTACATACGACTCTTTTCCATTTATTTCATCCAAAATTGAAAAATCTCTTGACAAGACCAAGGAATTGATACAAGAAAGAACCTTTTTTCAATGATCTTTAATAAATAAAGATAAATACAATATATTATATATAAGCTACAGAATGTGAACAATAGCATCACCAAAAGCCTCGGTCACAAATGACATTATGAACTGCTACGAACGCCATACGAATGATTTTCAGACGATGGAAATTCGGGAAGACAATGGAAAAATGGAGATTCGTACAAAATATTCGTTCGTACAAACCTTTGTGATCGTAGCGAAACATCTTACAAATTGTGGTGAAAGAGCAGACTGTCACTGAGAGCTAAGATGGGCCAATCAAGTGGTTCAATCAAGCGGGCAATACAAAAGAACAAGCTAATACCAACTTGAAATAAAAGCAAAGCACAATTACATTACATGACATCAAGAAGCTATTCATGTATTTGACATTTAAAATCTTGAAGTGCTTTATCTGAAATGGTTCCTACAACACGGGCAGGGAGCGAGTTTGATAGATGGAAAGCATTTGGAATGAAACAATAAATAAATAAATAAACATCTGTCTACTGTACATGTTTAGCAGCAGGAAAGGAGAGTCTTATTCAAAGATTCTCAGTTTTGGATGAAATAAATGAAAAAAGGGTCCCTTTCTTGTACTGACACATTGCATGTAATCCTCTTTAAATGTACGCTTTGTCAAGCCGATGCTTAACCCAATATATAGATACCTGCTATGCATAGCTTGCACTGGTTGTGATACAGAGTCTTGGTAGAATGGATATATAAATACATATAGCTGGGACTGAAGCAAGATTTTCATGTGATTTCAAGGCAGTTATTGAACAGAACCTTTGACAAAAATTAACAATATCCATACTTCACAATCCCCAATGGTGAAGTGTGCAGATTTGAATCTCAATTTGAAGTAAATATCAACAACGAATCTCAAACGTGGGAATATACAATTCATGTTGATTATCAATTTTCAAAACAATTCAGTTAAGGGGGGGGGGGGGAGTTGGGGTAGGCTTTACCAATTACTTTCCTGGAATCTTTGTGTTAGATGTGACATAACAATACATTCCGGAAGAAATATTGATCTGAAAGGTTATAGAGGTCAGATTAGGAGTGACAAAGAGAACTAATTTTGATTTTTTTTTTTGGATAAGCTCACACCTGCTTGCTTTTATTAATACCAACTAACAAAAAAATCAAAAAGTTAAATGGAGATTGAATATTGTTGTAGTTTCAGTATTGTTATGTTATGGTGATGAATAGTGATAGTATGTATTTAATCACTGGTGTAATTATGCATGGTGTGCTAGGGCTCTGGTCTTTCATAAAAACCAGAATATATTTGATATTATCTTTGTTTTGAAAGCAAAGAGGAGTAGGTGTTTGGATATAATGGTATGCATGTCTATCATGAAAGGAATCCTTTAGTACACCATGTGGTCTAGAATAGTATCATACACACATATGCACATGTAGATATACAGTCAAACCTGTCTTAAAAGATAAAGACCAGTTATGGTCGTGCGATCGCATTGTGAAAGAAACGTTGTGGAATCGATCAGAAAACGTTGATCATCTAGCTTATAAGTATTTATGTGTACTGCAAGGTTCTGTGATCATCAAAATGATCAGATATTTGGCCCAGTCTTGATAAAGCTACAAGCACTGTACACAGAAAGATGTATATGGAACTACCCCCACACATGCTCGACACGTGCGTTATATCTTTCATAGATATAATAGATATAATAATTTACCAAATATATCAATTAGTAGGCGGTTTCTCGGCAAAATTTGTATGATCACGTATTAGTCAAAACAAATTCTTTCAGATGATTGGTAATAAGAGCTTCCATTTAATTTTTTGAGTGGGGGGCGTTTTCAAAAGTGGCCTTTACCTTTAATATCGGGCACCTGTATTGTCTCCCTCTGTGAAGCAACCTGTGCTGTAGGACACGTTTAGGAAGGCTACCTGTCCGCAGTGGCCAGCTTCCATTGGGTGGTCCATAATAGACAGGTTTGACTGTAGATGGATAGATGTTCATTGGTATAGTGAGCTCATACTTAACAGTGATGTGGATTGGTTTCAGAAAGAGATATGGACTGGGAGGGGGAGGAGAGGGAGGAGAGGGGAAAAATGAGAGAGAGAGAGAGAGAGAGAGAGAGAGAGAGAGAGAGAAAGAGGAGGAAGGGAGAGAGAGAGAGAGAGAGAGAGAGAGAAAGAGGGAGATAATGAGAGGAGGAGAGATTGAGAGGGAGTAAGGAGGGAGAGGGAGATTATAGGGGAGAGAATGAGAGAGAGAGAGAGAGAGAAGAATGGAAGAGAAAGGGAGAGAGTGAGATGAGAGAGAGGGGGAAAGGGGGATAGAGAGAGAGAGAGAGAGAGAGGGAGAGAGAATGGAAGAGAGAGGGAGAGAGAGGGAGAGGGAGAGAGGGAGAGAGTGAGAGAGAGAGAGAGGGGAGGAAGAGTGGGGGATAGAGACGACCAAATGGAAACTAACCATGTATCCCCCATTTTGACGTATAATAATGCAATCCTTCATTCAGTCTGTTATATTGCTCGTTGATGTGGCTGAGGTTGTTGGTAAATAGTGGTTTTGCACGGGACATACACTGTACTTATCATTTTAGCTGATCACACAGATATTTCTTTGTATACCACCTCATTGTACAAGTTGTTTGGGAATGCATTGAAAGTACCGGTAATGTACTGGTTTGTGTGATACCTTGAGAGTAAAGGGTTTATCATCGCGAAAGACTCTTATTAAATCCACCAAGGAAATGTTAATATCCTTGTCTATCACTTACAGAGTATTTAATCGTGGGAATATAACAAAGAAACAAGGATATTTAACATGTACGTACAACAGGGTATTGAAGTTACCTGTGAGTTGAGTTTCTTCGTCATTGCGATCGTCATTTTGGTAGCTTGGCGAAATAAATAACATGAAAAGAGGAGTCCAGAACACGAAAGGGACATTAGTTAGTGACCTTGATGATTTAAAAGTTCTTTTTTGACGTAAGTGAATGAGAGTTTAGGTATTATGAAGCATATTCCTGTAGTGTATAATAATGATAATCCTATTTCCCCTTGGAAGTTTCATCAACACTTCTTCAGACATGTTCCTCTTGAGGGCCCTGTAATTATTATTACCCCAGCATTGCCAGGTACACATTCTTTGGGTTAAGATAGTCAAATGTGGACAAAAACATCTTGTCCAGGGGATTAAGCCCTGAGCAAGGATCGAAGCCAAACTTCTTGTATAAGAGTGCTGCTGAAAGGAGGAGGAGGTTTAGTGGTATAGGTGCTCTTTCACTTGACTCTCAATCCAAGGGTGTAGGGTTCAAATCCCAGCTGGCACCAACGTTATTTGGCAAGACATTAATACATATTTGCCACACTTCTCTTGGGTGTAAATGGGGTAATAATGGGGGAAATCAAATTGAAGCTAATGAGGTTTCCCTGGGTAAACAATTTCATTATTATATCAATAAGAGCCTTCATCAATATACAACAGTGCCCTCAACGTGCTCCCCCATCTATTTACCGGCTTCTTGTTGTAATGATTAGAGACTCCGATGGAAAGCACCGTTTTGAATATTATTTATTATTATTTGGTTCTACCTCAATGTGAGAAAATTAATGATTTTCACCAGTTATGCATTTTTCTTCCTGATATGTCTTTTCATCCGTAACATTTCACCAAGCTACATACATACCGTACCTTAGAGTTTACGTCCTTCATGTGATATCAATGTTTATACAGTGGAAACTTGTTATAACAATGCCCTTGGGACCATGGAAATTAACTTGTTATGTCAGGGTACAAAAACAAAAGAATATTCAAAGCTGGGACAAGCAAAATCACCTTGTTTGACAGAAACCTCATACTACAATGTATGAGAGCTCTATATAATGAGGTTCCACTGCATATGTATATGTAGTTATGGATTCCTTTTAACTAGCTTGTGAAGTAGTAGTCAATCTTTGTTAAGATTTGTGAGCAGTGTCCTAGTAAATATCAATGTTTATCTTCTTTTCTTTTTGAGTTGCAGAATGCATGCTTGATTTACTTCTGATATATTATTTCTGCTTCCTTGTTTTAGTTGTATCGTTTTTATTTATGATTTGCTGTATTATGTCATGTAGGATTTGAATATTGTGGAAAGTAAATGGTAGTCGCCCAGCTGGCAGAAGGGCGTTAGCGCACGAGCGACTCGAAAACTACTTTTAGAATTATTCGCATTTAAAGATTTATTCGCATTTAAAGATTTGTTTAATATTTAAACTTTGGTTTATTGGTTTAAAACTTAAAAGACCAATAGAAATGATATACATGTAGTAGAACACAACAACAAATTATTTTCTCAGAAATAAGTCAGTTTTATCAAATTTTAGGCACTTTATCGCTTCATTATTTACCTGTAATTCGAGCTTACGCCCTTCTGCCAACCAGGTGACGATAATTATATTCCCCCCTATTTTCTTTGGAGATCAACTTCTAAAACACATGTGCCCCAAGTTCACATGTTTGTAAACTCTGTTTAATATTGACCAAAACAGAAGGGGATAGAAAACACACTGTATCTATATGACCTTGATTTGGTTGTCTACCCCTCCCCTCCCTCCCCCTCCCTCCCCCTCCCTCCCCCTCCCAAAGGGGCCGTGATGTCGGTTCTCATACCCAGTCTGTCTGTGAAGTGGGAATTAGGTATTGGGTTATGCACTGTTGGCAAGTTGACCATGAGATGGCGCTGTGCAATAAACAGTACGCTAGGGCAGAAAAATCAGTTCAGAATTGCTTTAAATTCTTTCTCGATTTTTCCAGTTAAATTCTATTTTTTCCAGAATTTCTTTGAAAATGTCATCAGAATAGGGAAGGTTTCCTTGTTTGTGATAAACCTAAACAAAATCATTATTATTTTCATCATCCAAAACTACATCAATTATTTTGTAATATGTCATAAACCTTTTTAAATTGCTTTGGGACAGTTTCTTTCACGATATGATAATATTTCATACTCGTATAGTGCATATCACAAATATATCCCTATGCTCTGTAATGGAGAGAAAGAAAGAAAAGAACAGAGATGAGTGAGAAACACTCAGCATTTTTCCCTAAATCTTTAGTTAATACTGGAAATAAGAAACATTTTGACATTCTTTTAAAAAATTGAGCAAATGTTTGGAACATACAGATAAATTTGAGCACTTGTCAAGTTGTCATACCTTTATATCGTGAAAGAAACTGTCCCAAAGCAATTAAAAAAAGTTTATGACATATTACAAAATAATTTATGTAGTTTTGGATGATCAAAATAACAATAATTTGATTGACTAGTAATAACAGCTTTTGGCAGATTCAGATTTACATTGTTTTCTTGAAAAATTATGCATTTTTAAGAACAAAGCAACACCTTTTGTAATGGTTTTGATTTTTACGATGTTAATTAAAACATATTACATGCATTCACCCATTTCATGTTAATATTCAATGCTACAATGACCTTTATTATCTTACAACCTATGTTACTAACTAATGTTTTGTGAAACTGACCCATTTTCTTGTGTTTGTATAGCCTTATGAAACAGGGACCCAGGTTGCACTATGGACAAATCACAGAGTGATGGAATGGTTGCGGTCGGTAGATCTGTCTGAATATGCACCTAACCTCAGGGGCAGTGGGGTACATGGAGGATTGATGGTAAGTGAGGTTTAAAGAAGAGAGAGAGAGACAAGAGAGAGAGAGAGAGAGAGAGAGAGAAATAGAGAGAGAAAGAGAGAAAGAGAAAAAAATAGAGAGAGAGAAATAGAGAGAGAGAAAAAAAAGAGAGAGAGAGAGAGAGAAAGAGAGAGAGAAAGAGAGAGAGAGAAAGAGAGAGAGAGAAAGAGAGAGAAAGAGAAAGAGAGAGAGAGAGAGAGAGAGAGAGATAAAGGTCAGGAGATCAGAGCAGCATTTTATGATACTGCAAATGGTGAACCGTGAACCGCTGTTTGGTCTTTATATATATATATTTATTGGTTTATTCATGGTATAATACAAAATGTGATTAGCAGCCAACGGTTGAATTTTTCACATTTTACAAGCAAATTTCAAAAATACATAAAACACAATACGGTATTTAAAATGGTGAAAAGATTGAACACCAGCTTATAATATACAAAATAATGTTCTCTAATTTGCTACTGGTTTTTCTTTGGTAAGGTATGATTCATCTACATGATTTCAGGAAAAAAGAGAGAATGTTTACATTATCAGATTCATGTTCTCTATAATGTCTGGATATTTTGATGGCAATAAACAATGCTAATTAGATGGGGTGGTTATTTGACAAGTTTCAAGTGGGCACAGTGGGTTATCGATGAAATTTTTCTTAGACTTACGGTACTGTAACGGATAGTAGAAAAAGATTGGCATTAAATAAAATGGAAATTGGACCAATTGGCTATTGGCCTACGAGATACTCATTAGACCAAATGATTATTGGACCATGTGGATAGTAGACGGGGTTGGGGTAGACCATATGGGAATCGACCAGTTGGGTAGTAGACGAACTGGTTGTGGACCAAACGGCAATAAACCGTACATGCTTGCCAATAACCTATTGCAACGTGTGTATTAAATGTAACATGCATTTCAATAGGAAGTCAGTGAACCTGTGCCTTGGTGAACAGGGATGATTAGAAGGAGCAAATAAAGATCTTACAAGCTGGATCCTGATTGGTTAAACAACTTAGGTCTACACAATAATATAATGTAAATTATATTTCTGCCAAACTATTGAAGGTTGTGACTATTAGTATACCACCCGTTTAAAGATTGGTATTCATTTGAAAATATACAGAAAAAGAGTACATTGTATACATCATTCTTTTAATACTAAATATATAGTTTTGGAAATAATATCTCTAGTGATATTCGTTTGTATGGTCAACAAGGGATCTAAAAGATCACTACGTTTTGTGCGCACTTCGTCAGTTTAATTTTCTCATTTTCACATTTTCACAGGTCCTCGAACCTCGATTCACGGCCGAGACTCTAGCCTCCATCTTGTGTATCCCTGGAAACAAGACGTTGCTACGGCGACATCTGAGCACTCACTTCATCTCTCTGATTGGTCCAGACATTCAGCAGCAGAAGAGAGAAGCAGAGAAGCAACCCTTATTTGTACCTCTCAACTTCCTGGCTAAGGTCAAGGTGAGGTCAGCTCTACTTTAAACTTAGAATACATACATACAAACATATTGATATTTATATAGCGCCTTTACATAAACATGCTCAAAGCGCTTTACATTAACCACTTGACTGCTATAAGGGAGTTTACAGATACAATCTGCGCGTGGGCAGATAAAGGTCATTTGTACCAAAATGGTAAAACCCACAGAGATGAATACTGGATATGCGCTCGTGAAAGTTATGTAACATTATTCATTTATGCACCATTCTATGATACGCAGGTGGAAGAATTCTTTTCAAGAGGTCAAACAAAAGGTATTCATAAAGCACATCTAGGACTTTGGCAGTTATTATTCTAAGATGCTCAAAGTGGAACTTCTCCATGTGTAAAAGATCTGTAGATATTTGGGGTCATTTGTACCATGTGCTATCTGTAAACTCCCTTATTGGCTTAAAACGCACGGCATACCCCCTGTGCTATAGTATTTTTGTACTTTTCAAAAAGTGTACACTGTACATTAAAAGGCCAGATTTATTTTTGAAAAAGCTCCGTACACGAAAAGGCCAGATTTTTTTGTTGAAAGGACGCCATCTACTGTTCAAGACCTGTATAACACCATTGCAGTGCTAATTACACAGTAGGGCTAGGCAGTATGCAGTGCTACGGTCTTGAAAGTGCAATGCCCTATGATAGTAATGGCGATGTTGATGATGATGATGGTGATGATGGTGATGATGACGATGATGATGACAGTGATGATAGTGATGATGATGTCATTTGTTATCTGTACCAGAAGATGTAAATGATGATGGTGATGAAAATATAATAACAATGAAAATTATGACAAGAATTAAAATCTCTTGTATCCTTCTCACATTGCACAGCCTAAAAAGAGAACGTTTGGCAAGAGCAGACGAGGGACTGAAATGGAAGACTATATTTGCCCAATGGACCTTGGTCACCCCTCCAATCTGAATGGTCTGTCTCATATGAATGGTAACAGACCTGCTCCACCTAGTTACAAGGTGGAAGTAAGAAGTGCTGGAAAGGTGCACAAGCAAATGGATGAGGTGAGCATTCAAATCATTTCTTTCACAGTTTTTATATCACGGTTATTTTGCAAAACATTAAAAGCATTGTTTAACAATGTTAAATCTGAGATGCACGGCCCTACGTGTTATCAGTGTCTGTGATATGGTGTAATATTAAAGCCCCAACAAAATTGCCCTTCAAAATGATCAAGAAGTGCCTTAAAAAAGTTAAAATCTTTGAATGACCGGTTTTACCATACTCGTTTTCCCCAATAGACTGTAGTGTTAGGAAAACTATTAGGATAACACAAAACAGGTGATCGGCTTGTAAAAGTCATGGGGTTCCTGACTGCCCTAAAGGTTTATAATTATCATTGCAGCATGAGCTTAATCCAGGATTTTGTTTCAGAACCTGAGACAAAGTTACCGGATCCCTTTAAAGTTTTTTTTCTTTTCCTGACTGCTATTAAAGAATGCATGGGGATGCTTGTTAGTAAGCAACCAGGGGACCAAGAGCTTTACATCTCTCCAAGGGACTTGGTAATCAGGATTAATGTTGTACCAATGAAAGGGCACTAGTGCAGCGTCTTGGTTCCAAACCCAGAACCTTCTGGTTATGAGACCACTGCTCTACCACATAATGAGTATTTGATTTAAGAAAACTTCATAAATTCATAACTTTCCAATTTGTATGACAATTGTGTCCTTATTCATCTTTCAATGCAGGATCAAGCAGACGGCCCGGAAATGAAGGAGGGAACTGCTCAAAAGTTTGGCGCCCTCTCCCAAGAAATTGATTCCTTGACGGTAAGCATTGGATTCTAGTCTTTGTCGAAAAAAATAATGCTTTAAAAAAAAACTTCTTTATCTTTTCCCTTTTTTTGATCTAAAAATGTATTTCTTTTTATGTAATTTGAAATTAGTCTGGACTGTTTTTTTTTTCTCCAAATTATTTCTAGAAGCCAAATCAATCATTATTTCTGTTGTGAGTAGCTTGCATATTATTTGTATATTGTAACTCATGCATTTCTTTATTTTATCTGTAAAAGTATTAAAGAGTTGCCATCTAGAAGCAAAGACAAAATTTGATGAACCTTGAAATTCGAATCTAAACCTAATATTGAAGAAATATCAAATCAATGACACAATTTATTTGTTTGTGTTGTGCTTTAGACCATGCTCTCAGACTCGGATATGGATAGGAGTACACATGTGTGATGTCATCATACCAACCTCTCACCCAGATGGGCCTAGGCTTTGATGTCATCATGCCAACCTCCCACCCAGATGGGCCTAGGCTGTGATGTCATCATGCCAACCTCCCCCCCAGATGGGCCTAGGCTGTGATGTCATCATGCCAACCTCCCACCCAGATGGGCCTAGGCTGTGATGTCATCATGCCAACCTCCCACCCAGATGGGCCTAGGCTGTGATGTCATCATGCCAACCTCCCACCCAGATGGGCCTAGGCTGTGATGTCATCACGTCTCATCCAGCTACAGTCAAACCTGTCTATAGCGACCGCCCAAAGAAAACACAAAAAGGGGCCTTTGTAGACAGGTTCCTTTAGTACATGATTCAATGAGAAACCATTTTCAAGGGAAACAACAAATGTGGCCTTTGTAGACAGGTGGTCACTAAAGCAGGTTTGACTGTATTACAAAGTATTGCCTTTGTTAGAAAGCTGAAACCAAGCCCTACTGTATGAATGCTACATTTTGATTGGCTGATTAGCTGATTGTATCAATGTCACTGTTGATGGCAATATGCTGTCAATGTTTTTTCACTAGCTCTTATAACATCAGTCCACATTCACATCAATTGCATTCTAAGAAAATTTGCTGATGATGTTTCTTTCAATGAATGACATCTAATTTTTTTATATTTCTTACTGATAAAATGTACTTTTTACTGCATGTGATATCTTTTAGGCACTTATTATAGTTTGCTCACACTGTCTGTAAACTGGTGAGGACATTTTAACAAAGAAGGAAAAGTAGAGCCACAATCAAAACCTGCTGATAAGAAGTATGGAGCTTTTTTTTTATCATATGATCTCTTCTTCCTGATTGGTGGATAATATGAATGCTGCTTCTGATTGCAAGTTATTGGCCAATCACATCACAACCACTAGGTCTTTGTGCGTTGCTCAACCATACAGGAGCTACCCAGCTCCCATAGGCAATGCATTCTGCATATTCTTTGAAATGCCGTTACTTGAAAGAATGCAAAGATTTATGACTTTTTATTCGATGAATTACAAGGACTAGGAAGTGTTATGGTGCTTGGTCTGACTAGTCTGTTCACACATCGCAGGCAGATTTATTTCGTTTGATTTCTTTGTAACATTTTTCATTTTTAATTTGCTTCTTACAATTGCTGATAGATTTGTGTATCAATTGAGGACAAAAAAGAGATATTGTTTTGAACTCTTTTATTTTGCAGAAATGATATTGATTTGAAAAATGTTTAATTCATTAGCTGAGAGGAATTTGATTTACTTTGACCATCTCTATCCTCCTACAATACAATATACATAAATTGTGTGAGCCCATCTTTATCACTTATCAGCAAGTGGTGTAAGCTCCATTTGTTTTTCTGTGTTCTATCTAATGAAAACTCATTGTAAGTAAAATAACAACACCCTCCTTTTCTAAAGAAATTTAAAGAACAATTCACAAATCTCTTTCACTTCTATTTTTGGAAACCTCCAATATATATATATATATATATATATAGACATGTATATTTATATATTACTAAAGGCGTATTTAGAGGGATATTTCAAGTACAAAAATGAGTCATTAAGTAGACATTGTGATTAGGAGGACAATTTGGTGTCCTCTTAACGTTTTTTACGTTTGATTTCTCATAGAAGGTCTATTTTTTAAATAAATCTCTCTCTAATACCAGAAGCGTCATTGGAGGGATATTTGGAGAGAAAAAAGGAGTCATTAGGAGGACAATAATTCTACAGACAAGTTTTGGGGTTGGGGTTAGGGTTAGGGTTAGGATTTTTATGATGTCCACTTAATATACTATGTCGGGTTATTTATATATATATATATTTATATATAAATATATTTCTATAAGGGGGGGGGGGGGGGAGAGAGATGGCTCACTTGAGAGAAGTGAATACGAGCAGAATTTTGAAATACACAAAATGATTTGAGTTAGGCTTCTGTGTACCAGTAGACTATGCAGTTTGTCATTATCTGAAAATGCTCATTAATGGTTATAATTCATGATGAACATATTATTCTTTCTACCATACATTGTTTCTGAATGCAAGTTTAGAATAAATTCCTATGTGGTTTATCTCTACGACTCTGTCATCATGTTGACTTCAATGTTATCTTAAACATATTTGACCAATTCTTAATAGTGTTTGATCAGGGAGGTGTTTCACAAAGACTAAGTTAGACTTAACTATGGTAGGCCTTTCGTGCCATTAGTTGATCTCATCATTGGTCTCTCAAATATGATCTTTAGATAATATTTTTTCACACAGTAATGAACTATAATAAAAAAAATGTATATTCTGTAGATTTGTGACCGTGATTGGTACGTCCCTTAAGAAACCGATGCCAGTAAATGATGAGAGAAAATAGTGGCATGAACAGCCTGCCATAGTTAAGTCCAACTTCAAGTCGATCTTGGTCTTTGTGAAACACTCACCTGGTGTGTTAGCAAAATAGATTTGAAATTGATTGTATTGAACAAAGTACTTAATTGCATTTGATTATTTTGATGTTATTTGCCACATCTACATCACATGTAATACTTCTGAGTAAGATTTAAATGAATTGACATCAAAAATATGTCATAACCTCTCCACATAGTGCTGTTGCAAGAGAACAACACAAGGATATTTCAGAGGGAATAAACAGTTGTATTATCTGTAAAAAGAAAAAAAAAAAACACAAATTTTTTTGATCATCTTGAGTTGAAAGATAAATTGTAAGAAATGCTTTTTTTAATGAGTTAAAAATCGTGGTTTGATTTTTTTTTTCTATCACGTTTCCTCTCTGTTTTGGCCTTTATTTATACAATATTGTTTATGATAATGTCTTCTCTGTTGTGATCTTATATGTTTACTGTAATATCAAGATCTTCCAATGTCTATTTAATATGTGAATTGTAATTGATAATGATAAAATGTACATAGAATTCAGGCAAACCCCATGTTTTCTTAAATTTTTTGAGCCGTCAGACATTTCATTTTCAATGTTTTTTTCATGTGTTCTGTGTAGTATGCTTTTCATTTCTGTTTAATACACATGAGCGGTGAGTGATTTAGCTCTCGAAAGCTCAAAACGTGCTCTTGTGAACTAATAAATCCTTTTAAAAGTTAAATTGTGCCTTGTGCTTCAGTGCTTCATTGTTATGCCTCCGCCACCGAAGGTGGTGCCGGAGACATCATGTTTTCGGGTTGTCCGTCCGTACGTCCGTACGTCCGTCCCGTTTGACCGTTATCACAATATCTCAAGAACCATTTAAGATTTAAACTTAAGACTCGGAAATAGTATTTATCACCATAGGAAGACGATCTGATTAGATTTTGGAGTGCGTAGGTCAAAGGTCACAGGTCACAGAGGTCAACTTATGAAATTCCTTGTATTGAGTTTGTTAGCGCGATATCTCAAGAACTATTTGAGATTTAAACTTCAAACTTAAGGATAGTATGTATCACCATAGGAAGACGATCTGATTAGATTTTGGAGCACGTATGTCAAAGGTCAAGGGTCACAGAGGTCAACTTATGAAATTCCATACATTGAGATTGTTATCATGAAATCTCAAGAACCACTGGAGATTTAAACTTCAAACTTAGTGATAGTGTGTATCACTATAGGAAAACAATCTGATTACATTTTGGAGCACGTAGGTCAAAGGTCAAGGGTCATAGAGGTCAACTTATGAAATTCCATACATTGAGATTGTTATCATGATATCTCAAGAACCACTGGAGATGTAAAAACTTCAAACTTAAGGATAGTATGTATCACCATAGGAAGACGATCTGATTAGATTTTGGAGCATGTAGGTCAAAGGTCAAGGGTCACAGAGGTCAACTTATGAAATTCCATACATTGAGATTGTTATCATAATATCTCAAGAACCACTGGAGATTTAAACTTCAAACTTAATGATAGTGTGTATCACCATAGGAAGACAATCTGATTAGATTTTGGAGCACGTAGGTCAAAGGTCAAGGGTCACAGAGGTCAACTTATGAAATTCCATACATTGAGATTGTTATCATGATATCTCAAGAACCACTGGAGATTTAAACTCCAAACTTGTTTAAATTGCTCTATGGCGGAGGCATCATTTTCGACTGCGCGCAGTCAAAATTCCATCTAGTTTAAATGATGCAATGTTTTTAGGCTTTCACAGAACCTTGTTTCAATCAACAGGATAACCTTTCATTATTTTAAACGTCCTACTAACTTCTTGTCTCATGAAATTTCAGTTCTCTCTACTCACTTGTCCTCTACGCCACTTCGCCCCAGTAAGGAGCATAACATGGCTATCTCAAATAGCGAGCGATAGTTACTAAACCCAAATCCAAGAAAAAACATTTATGATGATAAATATCAAAGTAATTGACAACTGACTTTCATAAAAGACATAGACATAGTGGTGGTTATTTTACCTGACAGCTAAGAAAGCAATAAATGCTTGTTAGTAAGCAACTAGAAGTTAATATCCCTGATAAACCGTATGCATTTTTAATCACTCGATGAAAAGGTTACCTTAAAGGTACTATGTCCCATTTGCAGGCCAAAAAAATGAAAAGGTTAAATCCTCTTGTACCAAGTTTGGGCTGAAGCAATGAATGTGGTTCAAAATCCATAACGTGTGTGTTATCTCATTCCAAAACAATTGATCTTTTATTCACATTGACTATTAAGCAGTTTAAAAAAAAAAGTTAACAATAACTCAAACTCAAATAAAGGATGAGTGAGAAAGTCTTGAACTTTTCTACTTGCACTGAAAAAGGTAGATGCCCTTCTGCATGGAAATGTTATGTATGGATTAAAAGTTAAACCATAAATGTAGGAGGGTAATATGCTAAATCATGTAAGTGTGTTGTTTAAGACCTATATATCATGTTACTATGACTAAGAAAGTCCTACCTTTTGCATGGATATGTTATTCACTTGATAGGAATTTAAAGGAAACCATTTACTATTTCTGTTCAGATAATCTTCTACTATGTAGATATATGACTCTACTAAGCTGTTTTCATTTAAACATCATAATAAGGCAATGATTGGTTAAGATGTTGTAGTTTAATGTATTTTTGTATATTGTAAATAATCAGACACGTACTTACACTGTTCATCTTTTTTGCATTTTGTGAATAGATTTGGGATAGTATATGGAATGTTTGAGGTTTGGGGTTGGGGTATACCTACTGGAATTTCTGTGGTGATGTTAATGCAAATAAGCTTAATTTAATCAGTATTTTGTTCTGTATTGTATTTCGAATGTAACTTTCTCATTCATATATCAATCGAGAGAGAGAGAGAGAGAGAGAGGGTGGGGGAGGAAAGATGTCAAACAGGAGAGTCAAATGTTGAAATATTAATAGAGGGTTACAAAGAGGATATATATAATGGAACTAAACTTACTTGCTACTCTGAGTTTCACGCCTTACAAGCGATTATCAGGCAACTGATATCATTCTTAAAAGTACATGATAACTTTACTACCTGGGTACAAAAACTCTAAAAATAAGACTTTAACTATTACAATGAGAATTACTCATGGGTAAAGGGGCTAATGTAATTGCGTAGGTACTGCGTTGGATTTCTAAACATGTAGTTTAAAGATATGGGAGGGGGTATCACAAAATAGTCTCTTCCAAGGTCCTAGCACATAAATATTTATTTATTTATTTAAGTATACTGTAGTTGCAGATATATAATTTGTTTTCATGGCGGCATTTGGAGAGTTCTGGTCTTTTGTTCAGGAGTGTCTAGTTCTCGGTTTCCTGATGATCGCTTGTAAGGCGTGGAACTCAAGAGTAGCAACCATATTCCATTAGTCTACCTTATTCAATATATATATTTATAAATATACAATGTATATACCAGGGAGATGACAGCACTGTCATCTCCCTTGTATATCTATTATATTTTTACAGCGTATATATTCACTCATCAATTCTTTGTTTTCAATATTTTTTTTAATTGATCAAAATACAATACGAATCATTCTTAGAAATTAATACAGTTGTTTTTCATCTTGACATGATTCAATACATTTTATATACGTAGATTGTACGATTGATAGGGAAACAAATGAAATCAGTTGTAACATTAAACAAATAACCACATCCAACCTGACACACTACTACCCCCACCATGCGACACACGACACACACACACACACACGCACACACACACACACACACACACACACACGCACGCTCTCTCACATTTATACACATATGTATATATAGAGAATATCATATATATCGTATCCGGACACCTACCCCCTGGACATCCACCCCCGGATCACCACCCCAGTCAACTACCCCTTAGGACAAATACCCCCTAGGGCAACCACCAATTTTTATTTTTTTGGTTTGAACGTCAAACAGTCTCTCGAATCATATTTTCTTTTAATTAACAAAAGTAGAACTTGAAATAAAAATTTACGCTATTCTGTTTTTCGATTTGCAATCGTTGTCGTCGTTGTTGTTTCTAAACATTCACAAACTACGTTGCCCCATTTACTTCTCTTGTTAAAGGGGAAGCCTACCCTGATATTAAGTT